AACACTTAACTCCATTATTAACTAAAACATCTTACATGTACATAGCATTTGACTGTTTTTGAGGTGATTTCACACATTCCATTTCATTTTCGTCCTCACAACAGCCCTGTGAGGTAGGCTAAACAGATCACAGTTATTTTATAGGTGAGATACGAAGATAAGTAAATGACATCTAGAAGTCATAAACCTGGTACTGGTAGAGATAAGGTGAGTTATTCTAAGTTCTTTAAAAGAGATGAAGCAAACATATGTTTAATACCATAGCCAAAGATTTTAAAGACCAGTGGTTTTTAATATAAATTATTTTTAAAAATTTAACTATTATATATCTTATAGTATGAACTAGTTATAAATTTTATTTTAGAGATAAATTAGACTTATACCTTTGGTACCTCAGAGATATTGGAAATGTTTTTTAAAAATGCATTCCATAAGTCTTTGCTCTCCAAAACATTCTAATACTAGTAAAAATGTCTTTACCAATCACTTACAATCTGACTTATTTAAAAATTGGTGTAAACTTAACAAGCTCCACGCCAAGCAAACACATTCACATGCCTTCTGCCTTACATACAATAATACACTGTGCCATCCTCTACAAGTCCATCCCAAGGGCCCACTTCTATCGAGTAAGTACTGTTAAGGAACAGACCCACTAAAAGTACCATCATCTTCAGTAATTTTGAATTCAAAGTCAATACTGTGTTTTGAGTTAGAAATAACAAATACTGCTTTAGTCTAATAATTGGGTAGTCTTAGGAGAAAAGTACTGTGGCAAGATCTGGTATTTCTTTATAAGCCCGGAAACCCTATACAGGGTGGCTTTCAGTTGGAACCAACTTGTAAGCACTTAACAACAACTGATACATGGTATGTTCAACAGTCTTTTTGATGAAAACAATATAAACCAAGTGAGAACCACTAACTGTCCAATTCACTCAAAATTCTGAGGGTGCTACATTAATCAAATATTCCAGCTAACAAGGATATTCTATGTGACATCTCAAGATAACAAACATTTTTGAATAGGAATACTGTAAAATACACACAAAGCTAAAACTCTTCTGAATCTGAGGTAACCCTTCGGTGACGATTAAGAAAACATTCATGATCTCTTATGATGATCCAGTGCCCACCCTATGAAATGTCAATTTTGGTTAAAAATAACTGAAATAATTTTATCATACCTGGATACTTAGTAAATTTGTGCTCACCATACACTTCCTTAAAAGAATACAAGTATAAAAATAAAATCAAGGAAGATACTTATCCAAACACAATTTTAGGTGACTGTATAAAATTGAACCACAGCGCATTCAGTTAATTAGAAAAAAAAAATTATAAACTGTTAATAAATTTACTCTTTTAAACTTCTGACTTACTAGCAAAACATTATTTTTAAGATGCAAACCTTGTCACACTATCAACAGCAACAAAACTGTCCATAGAGTCAGTCAAACTCACTAGTTTGGGAAATCTGAATCTAATAGAATGCTGCCAGCCACATAACTAACGCTCAAACATTTTCTGTTATGAATTAGTCATGAAATAAACACTGCTCTAACATATTTTTTTCCTTAGAATTAGTAAATGTAATTGATGATCTGAAAATACAGCCCCCAATTTTGGTTGTTTTTTGGTATGGAACCACACATTTTAGAGTAAAAAATCCTAACTCTCCTAGAATCATTACTTATTGATACAAACATTTTCTGTATATATTCTTTTCCACACTTTCCCCAATTGTTCCAAAAGAAACAACTAAAATGCATCCATAACTATTAATTTTATGGAAAAAGTATATAGGGAAAAACTAATCATTCTAGGTAAGTCATGAAATAGAGTATCTGCAAACTGTTGTCTTCTTAGATGAAAACATGGGTGGGTTATTACTGTTTGCGAGTAGAGTAAGTAGGCCAGGTCCAACTGTACTGCAGATAATGGTTTGTCAAAATTCTAAAGACACCATTAATTAAATCCATGTTCAGGTAGGCATGCCCTTGGATACTTGGACTCTGTTTAACCTAACAGCTAGAGCATACAAAGCATCACTGTATACTAATCTCTTTATGCATTCAGTTATGAAATGCCTGGTATTTATATACATATGCCAAGGTAAAGACATGGTCAGCTCAGAAGTTATAATGAATTATAAAAAAGTCTTTTTCTAAAGTGCTTAAGGCAGCTCCTTCGTTTTCTATCCAATTTATTAAAACGAGTTTCGAATTCAACTATTAAAAGAAAAAAGCCTACTAAATGCAAGTTTTTATCAAACATATTTGGTGCACCTGTCATACAGCCATTACCGTCAACCCTTTCATGCATTTCCTTTACAGAACACAGTCAAGTTTGACCTTTCAGAACAAAAAGTAAGCAGTAAAATTTCTTTAAAGGGTTTATCAACCTTTCAACATGTATTAAATTCAGTAAAAGAACTCACTACTTTGAAATTTAATTAAAATGCTATGAAAATGTTATTTATTATGGTCAGTCACGTTAACAGTTTATTTGGAGACGACTGAAATAGACAACTACAATGGATCATTTTCTAGTTTTAAAATGAGGGTGGCAAACTTTCTCTAGTCTAACTAAATAACAAATAAACTTAAAACAAACAACAAAACCCCACACATTCTGTTCTTTAGAGACTTTTATGAAGAAGCATAGAAAGAGAAAAGCCCAACTTCTTATTTTGAAGAAATAATAGTATAATTCAATATCAAGGATCACATGTAAGAAGAACTTGGAGTTTTGATTTACTCAATTTGTATTCATTGCTACAAAACCTCTAAGAAATAAAACCTCTGTAGTGAGATTAACACATTTTCCAAACGAGTATTAGAAAATCCCATATGAAGAGTCTCAAATTATGGCATGACTACAAGAAGGAATCACATGCACTCCTCCACCCCTGACAATGTTTTCCCCACCCCCTGCAATAGAAGGCCCTCACCAATATAACTGGTGCTTTCTGGCTTAAATCTCAACTGACACTGCATAGGGCGTAGAGCAAGGGCATGCTTAGAGGAAGAAGGCACTGAATTAATCCAAAGACACATTTATAATACACGAGGGGACTTCAAAAATTTTCTAGAAAAATGCAGTCAAAAGATAATAAGATTTTTCCACAAACTTTTTGAAGCCCCCTTTTATAACACATAACTGTAAAAATTTTGTACAAGAGCTCCTGGATTTTTCTGTTTCAAGTTTGCTAAAATACACTGTATAGCTTGTTCATATAAAGCAGTGTGTATGAAAAGGAATTATAAAGTCCTGCTTATTTAGGTCCTGGAATAATCCCTCTATAGGGAACAGAATATATGAAAATGTCTTTCAAAATTCTCCATGAGGAACAAAATAAAAATATTACAGAATGAAAAGACTAGAAGACTAGATACTGACCCATTTCATTTCCTAAACTGCCTTAGAGTCTTTAAAGTTACCAATACCATCAGAAAACAGTGCAATGAAAATTTCCTTTGAAAAATTAATACCCAGTTCAAATAAAATCCCTCATTTAAATGTGTTTCATCTGAACGTAATATCCCATCAGTAAGTAGTAAAGTTGAAGACAGAATGAGCTATTACTATTCCAAAGGCTTTTCTGTAGAAAGCAACTCAGTGGGAGCAGCCACAGTCACTTATGAAAGACAATCAAGGAGAACCAAAAGCTTCAAAAATTTAGGAAATAAAAAGTCATCAGACCTCCTAAGAACACTCATCAACAACAAAAACACTTAATGGAATTCTTAAATACTGCAGTTAGAACTTTTAGTTTGGCTTAAAGAACTTATACACATTAATCTACTTTTTAAGGACAGACATGTTCTGTTCAAGAACTACAGGTTTTACTCATAATTTAACACTTTTTCCCCATTTGGGAAAGATGATTCTGTATTGAGTGATAGAAGGATCACAGCCCTTTTTAAAGCAAATGAAAGTAGAAAAGGAGGCGAGAGAAAAATAAACTGAATTGCTACGTTTGAAAAATTCATTTGCCAATTCAGTCAGGGATATGTGGATACTTTTCCAAAACAATTCTTTAAATCATTTCATATCTTATTGAAAAGCACGTATAAATTACTCCATAAAGAATACTTTTAAGCACCTTCTTTTATAATTTACTCTTTTCAGATAAAAGGTAGGCAGGGGAAGCTTATCTACCTTCAGTGTAACTTTAATGCGATTTCACTCACACTACAAACAAAAAATTAGTATAATTATCATCCGTTCTGACCAAATTCTGTTGGAAATTTTTATCAAAGATAACTATTAAAAGTGGGATTAAACTAGACAACGAAGTTGGAAACCATAAGGCTTTAAAAAATCTTACCCATCACCAAAAGTGATCGAATGAAAAGAAGTCTACTTCGGCAGGGTAGCATATAAAGAATTCCTCGTTGTCACTAATTAGAGCAACAGGTACAGAACTGAAATTTGAGTGAGCCTGGTGGCACAATGGTTAAGTGCTCAGCTGTCAACTGAAAAGTTGATGGTTCAAACCCACCAGTCACTTCGCGGGAGAAAGATGTGACCGTTTGCTTCCCTAGTGATTACAGCTATAGAAATCCTGCAAGGCAGTTCTACCCTGTCTTACAGAGTCACGATGAGTCAAAATCAACTCAACAGCATCAAGTTTAAGTTATTATATGCCAAAATTCTTCCTATCTACTCTCTATTTTGAGTTATAACTACAAGAGAAATATTACACTAATTTGGAAAAGAGAAAATTATGTATAATGTACTCAATAAACATAAGAGATAATGTAGCAAAACTCAACATATTTATAAAAGGGGGAAATAAACCACTGTAAGAATACCTGTCTAGTATCCCTATCCAATGTTTTCAATTTCTAACAAACCTTAGACAACTGTATGATTTTAAAGCTTCAGTGTAAGAACTAAATATTAGTTATTATGACTTAAAAAAAAAAAAAAAGAGGAAGCACAGAGGTAAAAAGGCAAGGTTTAAAAGCTTTCCACTCCAGGTTCTACAGTTGCCATCTTTAACTGAACATATTAGAAGAGACAAAAATCAATCAATCAAAGAAACTCCAAAATGAGTTTCTCTACAAAAATTTAAACATTGCTTTTTCCCTTCAAAATGTAGGCTTCTTGCTCAATATCTGCCCGCTTCTATAAAATTGCACAGTATGTTTCTGAAAATGCTTCATATTAGATGCTTAATGCTAACAGATTCCAGGCCTAAAAGCAGAAGGTAGCAAACCTGATTTGCACCACCCACACATTTCTGTGATTTGTAATTGCACAGAAGTCTCCCAATCAAAATGGGGGTAAATGTATTCCTAGTAGGCACTACTGAGTCACGTTGTTCAGACTGCTAGCTGAACCAGTCATTCCATTTTCAGTTTTCTGAAGTGTTCTCACAGCACTTGGAACCTGCATCCCAGTATTCAAAGAAAGTCCACCACACCAAACCTAAGAAAAGACAAAAACAAAGCTTCAAGACAGATTTCAAATAAAATTAGAACTTCAAAGATCTTTTAAATTTCCATTTGAAAAGCAAAGTGTCATACAAATGAACATCAATAGCTTCCAAATTGGTAACCCTGAGATTTCAGCTGAGAGAAAGTGAAAAGACTAATCAAGAATCTTTGAGAACCAGAGCAAATCTCTGTGGAAGAATAAGTTACGAAAGTTGTACACAAGAGAAACCCAAAGCTGCAGCAATGTAAAGAACTGATCTTAATCTTCACAACCAATAGAAGAACTCAGAGAAGCAACTTTCTCATCCCAATTACTGCTTCAGGTGTTGGAAATGAGCTGTCATATGAGACTACAGGGACCAAAGACTGATGCCTCTGTAGAAAGAATCAACCAATTACCATTGCTGTTCCCTCCCGACTTTGTTAATAATAGCTCTTTTATAATTCTTTAAGAAAAACTTCTGAGAAAATGCACATAGTAATATACTGATGAACTTATGTTCTATTAATTATTATTAATGTGGAAAATTTTATAAAGATAAAACCATTTTGCTTATGAAGTTGGAACATACTCAAGAGAATTAAAATATGAAGGTAAATCAACTGCCAAGTAAATAGCAAACAACGCTTTAGCAAACCAACTGAAAAAAAGACAGTTTTTTCAATAACTACTACTGGAACAAATGAACACCATATGTGCGTAAAATTAACTGCAAATCATATTATATACAAAAATTATTTCAAAATGAACCACAGACCTAAATGTAAAACCTACATTGAAAGACTAGATGAGCAGGAGAAAATCTCTGTGCTCTCAAGCTCAGCAAAACACAATCCGTGATAGAAAAAATTCGAATTAACTGAACTTTGTCCAAATGAATCATTTTATATCTTTGAAAGACTGTTCAGAAAATGAAAGCAAGCCACAAATTGGGAGAAAATATTTGCCAAACAAATATCTGACTAAAGACTCATAACTAGGATATATAAAGAACTCTTAAAACTCAATGATTAGAATATAACCCAGTTTAAAAAAAAAAGCAAAAATATTTTAACAGATATTTCACCAAAGACTTTATACAAATGGCAATAAGCTCATAAGAAGATGCTCAGCATCATTAGAGTCATTAAAAAAAAAAAAAAAAAAAAGAAGCCCACAATGAAATACATTACCTATTAAAATTGTTTTAAAACAGTAACAAAATCTGATAATAGCAGGTGGTGGTGGTGTGCCGTAGCATCAGTTCCGACTCATAGAGACCCTGTACAGCGTTTCCGAGGCTGCAAATCTTTACGGGAGCAGAAAGCCTCATCTTTCTCCCGCAGAACAGCTGGTAGTTTCCAACTGCTGACCTTGCGGTCTGCAGCCCGATTCGTAACCACTACGCTACCAGAGCTCCTTATAGATTGCTGATAGAAGGGAAAAATTGTACCACTTCTTTGGAAAATAGTTGGGCAGTTCCTTATAAGCCTTTGTTCAACTACAGGACCCAGCAATTTCACTCCCAAGAGAAATGAAAACTTAGGGTCAAACAAAAACCTACATGTGAATGCTGATGTTGTTGTTGTTCAATACAGTTGAGTCTATTCTGACTCATAATGGTCCTGGGCCACCTGTATAGGGTTTCTGAAGAATGGCTGGTGCGTTTGAACTGCTGATCTTGTGATTAGCTGTCCAGGGCTTATCCTACTGCACCACAGCAGGACCCCTGAATAGTGACAGGAGTTTTATTACTAATCACCCAGTAACAACCCAATGTTCTTTAACTAAATAATCTATGATACATTCATATATGAAGTACTGTTGTTGCATTTCAGAGAGCTGACTCCAACTCATTAGCCGTCAGATATGGCAGCGATAGGACAGAGTATAACTGCCCCACAGTCCTAGGCTATAACCTTCACTGGGGCGGATTTTCTCTCTCGAAGGAGCTGTTGTTAGGTGCTATAAAGTTGGTGCTGACTCACAGTGACCCTCTGCACAACAGAAAGAAACAATGCCCAGGCCTGCGCCATCCTCACAATTGTTGTTATGTTTAGGACCCCTTGTTGCTGCCACTGCATTAATCCATCTTGTTGGGAATAAACAAGATAAACATCAATAAATTGGAGCAGATGGCCTAAAATTGTAAACTTTTTGTTTAGCAGTTGAGTTATTGTTGTTAAATGCCATTGAGTTGGTTTCAACTCAGACACCCAGTATAGGGTTTCTAAGAAGTGGTTGGTGGATTTGAACCACCAACTTTGCAGTTCTCAGTCCAGTACTTATCCTACAGTGCCACACCAGGAAGACACTATTAATACACACAACACCATGGATAAATTTCACATGCATTACATATCACACAATATTTTTATATATTAACATTTACTGTACTAAAACATTAAAAAATGTATACTTTATCACAGATTGGGATAAAATGGATTAGGGAAAGGGAGCATTTTACAGAAAAAACAGGATCCTCTGCTTTTCTAAATATGCAGCACAGATTGCTCCCATTAAAGTTGTTAAACAAAATTAAATGTACAACAGGCACTAACCATGAAACCAGGAAGCACTGGTTGAGTGAATTTTGTCTTAAAGGAATACAACAATTGTTTTGAGTTTGCATCATAGAAAGAAAGTAGACCTAAAAAGAAGGGGAAAAGAAAGTCTAATTTATTATACAAAAAAATTAAAACATATGATGAAGACTAAGATATAATCATGCACAAAACTATTAAGTAAATGCACATTTTTATAGTTAATTGTTATAAATTATAAGGACAGCATTTAATAAAATTGGAGATCAGTAATAAGTATGCTTTAAGAAAAAGCCCACATCCAGTTTTGTCTACCTGGTTTTTAACACCCTCCATATCTGGCATTATATTCAACTATAAATTATTCTCTATCACTGTAGGAAAGCACTGGACTGAGAATCACAAGGTCAGCAGTTTAAACCCACCAGCTATCCTCGGAAACTCTACATAGGGTCACTATGGGTCACTCATATGAGTTGGGATTGATTCAAAGGCACTTAATAACAATCACAGCTTAACAAAAGATTTCATTAACCCCTTAAAAAATCAATACTATTTTATCCTCCTTATGTTTACCACAATCAGACTGCTTAACCAAATCTCCATAACCTTCTGAGCTGACCTCTCTGCTTTTAATTTAAGTTGAATATAATGCCAGATACCCCTGGAAGCCACTGATGGGGCCTTCTTTTTAAAGGCACCCTAATGAGACTAGCCATCCACTGCCTTCAGAGACATATTTAAATACCTTTGTTTGGCACAAACCTGGGCATATATGAACTGGAACTCTAGAACCACTACTTTCTGACTTGGCCTCCTAGTTTCCTAAAACCTTCAGAGAGGCCCCCTCCATGACTAATGAATAAAGACTACCAGTCTATTATATTTATTCAAGGCCCTCAGAATCTGATGCCAGATCCTTTTCATACAACGTTCCCTGATAACCTCTACTTTAGGTTAGCATGTCATTCATCTTTGAGGAATTACAGTTTTTATGGAAAGGAGACAGAAGATACCTCATGTAATTATCTGGCCATAATGTTATTTAAAGTGGTAAATTTTAGTCCAGAAGATGTATTCGAACATGGCTATACAATAGTAGCCTACATCACTCATTATTTGCCTCAGGGTCAGTCTGGAGAGAAGCATCCAGGGAATTATTTTTGTTCTTTAGATCACTACTGTGTCATCTTCAAAATTGATCTATCATTTGGATGACAGTTGTCGTGAAGTGCCATTGTGTCAGTTCTGACCCATAGCAGCCCTTTATAGGATTCCCGAGGAGCAACTGATGAGCTTGAACCGCCAACCTTGCGGTTCAGACACTGCGTACAGCGCATTAACCCATAGTGCCACACCAGATATTTATTAAATAAGATTCAAAGAATGCAAATCTTAAAAAAAATCTGCAAAAGATAAATATCAAGTCAATTTTTAGATAATTTGAAAAGAGGATAAACTCATTAAGAAGAAACTTCAGGAAGGTGAATGTAATATTCTTATAGTATCCTAACATAAGAGAAAAAAGAATTTGACAGAAGTACAAACACACACACACACACAGAGACAGAGAGAGAGCGAGAGAGAGAGAAATCTAGTGGATCAAGTGGCTACAAGTTCAAAACAGGTCAACAATGCTGTCAAATCATATTACTAAAAATAGCACTGCCAAATCAGTTGTCCTATGCTGGTTAGAGGTTATGTGCTTGACCCAATCTTTAAGAAATACAAAATTGACAAAATTGTGTACAACCCTGAAATATTATAAGGGTTTGGAAAAATCAGGTTGCAAGAGGAACAACTAATGAAATAAAGAAGCAATATTAATAGTTTCTAAACAAATATGGAATAGGGAACATAATTCTGCATTTCTTCAAGTGGCAAAATTTAAGAGTAACAGGTCCAGAAGTTACAAGGAAACAAACTGATACAACCTAAGAAAATTAAACCTGTTCACCAATGAAACAGGCTTCTTTCTAAGACAAGCTTCACACACAAGTCTTAGAAGGCAGCCTGCAGAGACAGCGGACTAAGGAGTATACGCTGCGAGGCAGTGGGCTAAGGGAATTCTAAGGGTAGCTCCAACTTAAAAAAATCTGATTCCACCCATCTTGACAGATGATAACACAAGGTAAGGAAGAGCTTAAAATGGGGGAAAAAAAAAAAACAAAAACCAACCCCACCAAAAAAACAGTTGCTAAAGACTAAAACCATCCTTTCAGATTGACTTCATATATGACTGTCACCATTAAATACCATCAAGTCATTTCCTATCTATAGCAAACAACTCTGCATAAAGTTTCCAAGGAATGGCTGGCGGGTTTGAACCACCAACCTTGCAGGTAGCTGTCCAGTGCTTATCCTAGAACACCACATCAGGACTCCTCATATACAATGTTGTTAAGTGTCATCGAGTTGGTTCTGATTCACAGAGACCCTATACAGTGTTTCCGAAGAGTGGCTGGTGAATTTGACCCGCTGACCTTATGGCTCAAACTGACCTTGCAGTCTAGTGCTTATCCTACAGTGCTCTAAGCAGGGATCTAAGCAGCCATCTCCACTCTTGCACTCAATTCTAGGTAAGAGATTATGTCTGTGATCAAATCTTAGTTGGTCAAAACACCCGCACGACAGTGTTAGTAGAATCTCTGTACAGATGACTACCAGAGAAAAGTGCTGAAACTCAAGTTACTATGATCAAATATTTGTCTTAAGAGAAAAGAAAAAAACTTACCACCGTCAAAATCACAAAATATACCTATTTTCTCAGGAACAGTAACATCCAAAGCTTTGACTTTATTATTATGCTTTGCTGAAAATGTGTTTTGTAGCCAATTGTTTACATGGATACACCAGCTAGTGTTTGTCTTTCCCAACTGGTCAAATTTCCCCAAAGTTTTGTATGCTACTCCCACACTGTAGGATTTACAATCCTTCTGGGCCTTGACTTCCCAATAATGTTGTCCATTTTCAATAGCAGTGTCTCCTACAAAAGACCAAAAAGGTAGATTTGACTTTCTCTCTTTCAAATGAAATATCCTCACTCCAAAAAACAAAATCCATTACAGTTAAGTCGATTCCAACTCATAGCAACACTCTAGAACTGAGTGGAACTTCCGCATAGCCTTTTTTTACAGAATTGGACGGCCACATCTTTTGCCTGTAGAGTGGCGGGTAAGTTCAAACCACTGACGTTTCAGTGCCTTAATCATGGCACTTACAGGGCCCCTTAAAACTACTTATCAGGTACACAGAAATCCTGATGTGGTGCTGTGGATAAGCACTGGACCTCAAGGTGGGTTTGAACTACAAGGTCGGCGGTTCAAACTCACCAAGTCAATCCTTGGAAACCCTATACAGGGTCCCTATGAGTCGGAACTGACTCGATGGCACTAAACAACAAAGTCACACAGAATTGAATTTTACTTGTGCCACAAAAAGCTGATTCAAATACTTTCTAAAAGAATAAGCACACTAACACACAACAACTAAATGCAGAGTACCTACTGTACCTTTACTTTTATAGTCATTACTATATTTTTTCTGAATTTAAGAAGTTTCCGATCTTTTCTTCCTTCTTATCCTCTAAAGGTTTACACATACATCAAGAGAGCATTCTGTAAAACTGGAAGCTTTTTTTTTTTTTTTAAAGTAGCAAAAATATTAATAAGCAATTTTAAAACTCCCCAAAGTAAGGAGACATCAAGAGTGAGAAACTTCTGCAAATATACTTCCAATAAACAGGCAGTCATGCCAGCCCACCCAGGCGACTATGAACCTCCCACATAATATAATGAAGAACTGTTATGTTTTATCTTACCCAGCACTGTGTATGACTCTCCAGTAAAACGATCTCTGCTGCCTCTTACTGCTGGAGGTCTGGCGCCTACAGAGGTCCGTTTAGGGGATGGTGTACCACTTCTAAAGGAACAGGAACAAAAAGAAAAGTAAATATTCTATGCTGTGTTTCACACACTCAAATGACAAATCATGGAAGGAACCTTAAAAAGGTTTCAAATTATGTTTCAAAATTGTTGTTTTGTTGTGTTTCAAAATTAGCATCATTTTATTGGATCTAAATTATTCAAGAGCATTGTTAAGTATAAGCATTCAAATGTTAAGAAACCATGAGCACTAAGCAGGCTGAAAGCACTAGTGTCATGCAGACTGAGCAAAGTTTGTGGAAAGAACACAGAGTTGAGATTAAAAAAAAAAAAAAAAAAAGACAATGCCAAAATGAAACAAGACATGACTGAAAGGAAAGAAAACCACCACCTCAAAAAAGGTAAATTGGAACAAGCAAAGGCAAATTGGCTCCTCCTTCTTATAATTACAGTTAAACAATCTTTTTCAAAAGTAGTGGGTACGATTGTTGTGGATCTTGTCTTCTTAAAAAGAGAAAGAGCAACTGTACAAATCTGTGCAGCACAGGATAATGTTATAATACTAGAATATTATATATTTTTCCTGCAATAATGGACAGGACCCAACCTGACTCCCGTTGAATTAAGTTACATGATGTGGTAAACTGACCCTTTTACAAACTCCCCAATACTCAAAATAGACAAAATTCCCAAAGATGTTTATTAAGTAACATTTCAATTACATTGAATTTATCAAACAAGAACACATTTCTTTTCTTGCCAAAATTATCCCAAAATTATTACTTAGAGGGCCTGGAGTAAATTTGTATTTATAGTCTCAATACTAACTAGAAATAAAAACATTTTTCCAATAGAGTTGCACTAGAATTTTTCTCACTTAAAAGGGCCAATTTAGTAGACTTTAATATCTGTCAACTAATAGCAGAAAAAAAATTCCTGACAAGGGCAAGGCAAATACAGAGATCCACTTTTAAGGCCATTTCACATGGTTCAGTGCACTGTATTCCGCAGTAGCTAAATGGCATCTTGCTATCAGAGGCAGATTCACTGGACAGTTTCAAAGAATTGAACAGTGAACTCCGGAACAGTAATTTTCTATTTAAGGAGAATGATATTGAGAAGATAAAGGATTATATTAAGTATTTAGGTGAATTATAAGTCTACAACTATCGCATTCCTACAATTTATTTCTTTCCCAAATTAAAATTTTTTAACTTAAAAAATTTCCCTCAAGTTAGAAATAGTCAGTGTAGTTCTATTTGCATGTTCCTGTCAGGCAAAATGTTTTGAAACCAGTGATATCCAAGCCATGTTACTGAACCAAATAGTATCCACAAAGGCCACATAGGCTGCTGCAGGACTCGGGGAGAAAGCGCCACTTTAACCAGCTGGGCTTTTCCCTTTTTAGAGTAGGCTTCTGGAAACGTTTCACTTGAAGAAGCCATTCTGTTGCTTAAAAAAAAAAAAAAAAAGTGTGAAACTGTTCTACATGCAATATCAGAAATCTATGCAAAGTAAGGGGGCTAAAAGAAAAACTGATCTAGCATGGTTTATAAATTATACCCCCAAAAAATGTATCCAGAAGAAATCCCTGTGCAATATAAACACTGTGTATGATTTACAAAGTCAGTCTCCACAAGGTCAATTGAAACTGACCATCTGAAATGTAAATACACTCCACTCTAGAAATAACAAGTGGGCACTCAGGATAGCTTGCCAAAGACAAAAACACTGAAAAAAAAAAAAAAAATCATTGAAATATTACTGCACGTTAATCTTCCTCCTTGCAAGTTAATTCAACTGTAAATATTGGCAATTAATTTTGAAAATGAATATAGTTCTAATTAATCTTTATGTCAAAGTGGAAAATTAGTTTTATAACTAAACAAGGAAGATGGGGCTATAGCACTGCATTATATTTAACTTAACTTCAAACACTATCCTTACACATAACACTTATGATTAAAATGCTTGTTAGCTGACAGATGGAGCAAAGAAAGTAAGATTTTGTTGTGAGATACGAATCAGATGAATGGAGACAAGACGTTAGAGTAGACGTGAGCTAATGGGTGAGGAGAAATTAAAATGAGTCATGACAGAGGAAGTTGTGGGGTAAACCAGTGGTTCTCAAACCTGGCTGCACATCAGAATCACCTGGGGAACAAATTACCAGACCCCCACTCCAGACTGCTGAGTCAGAATATCAAAGGGTGGAGATCAGAAATACTTGCTTGTTTGTTAATTAAGAGACACAGGATTTTATTCTCAGCTGGGTTGGGAAGTCACTGAGGTTAAAAAAAGGACAGGGATAAAAACAACAAAGGGCAGGATTAAAAAGGTAGTGGGAAAAATGGAAGACTGTTCTTACACAAACTACCCCATGGCGCCCTCCACACTTGTTGCTTTGTTACATGAGGAACTTGGCTGTGGGCCTGCTGAGGGAAGGGAAACACTACTGGTAGGAACCACATCTTCTCATCTCTGGATACTCAGTACAGAGAAGGTACGCAGTATAGCCCAGCTACCTGAGTAAATAGAATATGTGATGTTATTCCTTGAGGACCTTGCATGCCTGCCCAATCACAGTCCTAACTTGGAGAAACACAATCACTTGGGATTTTGTAATAAATCAGTGGTTGTCCATTGAGCAAGTTCAACAGGTGCAGAGTCCACCAGGAAACTTTTAAAAAATACACTGAGATTTCAGCTCCTCAGTTGGCAGGCTAGTCTGCTGGGTTGGGACATGTATTTGATAAATTTCCCCAGGTAATTCAGGGCAATTAAAAGTAATCAAGAGAAGTAAGCAAGTAAGAGAAAATCATGTGTAAAAGCAGAAAATTTCCACTTAGCACTACCTCAAAATGTTCTGAGTTCTTCTGATAACTAGAGAAATACCTTTTTAAAAGAAATTTTAAAAAGTGTAACTTACCAGTAGTAAAGAAATAAAGGGAAAGCATGGGGAAAGAAAAACAATATAACTATTGAGAATGACAGTTTAGTTTCAGGAAAAAAGGTAAATCTATGAGCATTCCAGCCTTCCCACTTTAAATACATATGTGCAAGTACAAAAGCTTCCATTGTCTTATGTCCCTCTCTTTATAACACTTTGGTTACTTAACTATCTGAATTATGGCTTACTACTACTCTAGTTTATATTGTTTTACCAGCCTCCCAAATGATCTTTGTCACTCAATTCACCTGACACCCCTACTTCAAAATCTCTAAGTACTCCAGTATTGCCTCCAAACTACCTACTGTGACATTTCACGGTTTTAAAAAACTAGGTTACAAGTTGTCTTTCTAGTTTTCTTATCACTACACACAGCTCATTGTCAATGTTCCTCAAATTCACTCTGTCTGACTCAGTGCCATTCCTCTTGGTTGCACCCCCTCTCACTCCAAGTCCAAATGTTACACATTCTTCCACTTCTTGGAAAACCAGTTCAAAAACCATTCTCTTCACGAAGGTCTTCTCAATCCTACAGGCTAAACAGCTCTTCGAAGAAGTCTGGCTCCAGGTGCAAATCCTAGGTGTGAGCTTTCAGATCTGACCACAGTCTACCACAAAGGTTTTACCTGGGCTGCCTTCCCCACACTAGGCTTTATCTCTAGCAAGATGTGTGGTCAAGGACTCAGTCCTCCAGGCTGGCCATGTTCATAGACCATCCTAACCCAGGCACCTCCACTCAGAGACTCCTGTGTGTGCCTTTGTGTGCCTGGAGGAGTGGGTGGTGGTCTGGAAGCATTTTTTCTACTGTGACTCAGTACATTTCCACTTCTTCTTTCCCCTCTGTCTCCTCCAGTCTTCAGGTATGAAATGGGCAGGGTTGCTTTGTTTGGGGCTCCCCGAACAGTGAAATGATCGCCCATTTCTGCTGGTGCACCTTATCCTCACCCAGTGCTATTCCATGAGAAAAAAATGGAACAATGGAAGAGTCAGCATCCTTTCCCTTGTATTTATAAGTTCACAGTAAGTGAGTAAGGACTTGATGGCTACATTGTTTGACTTGTCCTAATTGATTGCTTTAACATCTGGTAGCTCTTGCTAACTTCCTTCTTCTGAACTCTTGTCCATACTTACCATTAAAGGTAATCTATATATAGTCCTGGTGTGGTGCTGTGAGTTAATTAATGACTGGACTACAAAGTCTGTTTGAGCCGCAAGGTTGGTGGTTCAAACTCACCGGCCTCTCCTTGGAAACCCTATACAGGGTTGCTGTGGGTAGGAACCTACTCAACGGTACTTAACAACAAAAACAACAATACCTTTGTTGTTGTTGTTAAGTACCCTTGAGTCGGTTCCAACCTACAGCAGTCCTGTTTAGGGTTTCTGAGAAGCGGTCAGTGAGCTTGAACCACCGACCTTGTGGTTCAAACTGACTTTGCAGTCCAGCACATTAACCCACAATGCCACACGAAGATTCCTACTTACATATATACATATATAACTGGAGTTGAATTTTTGACTGATACTCATATATATCTACATACATAAGAGGGTGAGTCAAAAATATAAACTCCAATTATATTAAAATGTCCATCCACATCTATGGCTGATAACACTGAGTGGAGCACATGGAATGATTCTGTCAAATAAATGAATGACAGTAGATTATGAGGCAAATAATTTGCATATCAGCCATGGTTGTGCCTATGAAATAATGCATGATAGACTGGGGTTTCGAAAAATCTGTGTAAGATGGGTACTGAAACAACTCACAGAAGAACACTAAAAGAAGCGTTTGGACATCTGCAAAGAAAATTTGGACCAATACTCGAAAGAAGGTAAAAGTCTCTTTAAAAAAGAAATCATTACTGGTGATGAGACATGGACTTATCACTACGAGCCTGAGAGTAAATGACAGAGTATGGAATGAAAGCATCCTCAATCACTGACCAAGAAAGTTCAAGAGTCAAACATTAGCTGGAAAATTGATGCTTACAGTTTTCTGGGACTGGAACACTATCAGGGAAAAGGTTCAACAATCAACAGTGCTCGTTACAGTGACATGCTCATTCAAGAGCTGAAGACTAAACTTTGTACTAAATGCAGAGGACTGCTATCCAAGGACGCTGTGATCTTGCATGACAACACATGTCTGCATGCCTCTGCCCACACTGCTGAAACTGCAAACACTTCCTTTTGAAGTGTTCAAGCATCCTCCCTATAGTCCTCATCTTGCTCCATCAGACTTTAACCTGTTTGGTCCCCTGAAAGCAGCCTTTTGAGGATGAAGATTCTCCTCTGATGAAACAGTGAAGACAGAAGTGCATTTATGGCTTGCAGCTCAGCCTAAGACATTTTTTAATAAGAGAATTTGAAAGCTTGTTGACAGATGAACAAAGTGTATTGAAAAGCAACAAGATTATGTCAAAAAATTATGTGTCTTCTCTACAAGTTGAATAAATTAAATCCAACAGCCAGAGTACAGTTAATTTTTGACTCACTATCGTAAATATGTATACATATATATACTGTTTTTATTATTAAGTGTTGTAGCATTAGTTCCAACTCAATAGTGATCCAGTATAGGGTTTCTGAGGAGTGGCTGGTGGGTGTGAAACACTGATATTGTGGTTCAAACTGATATTGCAGTCAAGTGCTTATCCTATAGTGCCACACCAGGACTCCATAATCAGAGCAAAGTTTTTGAAGGCAGGGGCAGTGTTTATCCCTATAAACCCCATAGCATCAACAGGACACCCTACACACAACCAATATTTGTGGAAAGAATAAATAAATGCATATAATGTTCTATAAATGGCCTACCATAAAATATTATTAAGAAGAAAAGAGAAGAATGGAATGTTGTTGTTGGTAAGTACCAACTCATAGCAACCCTGTATAGAGTTTCCAAGGAGCAACTGGTGGGTTTGAACCACCAACCTTGTGATTAGCAGTCCAGTGCTTATCCTACAGCTGCTGTTGTTGTTGTTGCTAGGAGCCGTCAAGTCGGTACTGACCCATAGTGACTCTATGCACAACAGAACTAAACACTCCCCGTCCTGTGCCAACCACCTAAATGTCAAATACACGCAGTCTACAAATTTCCAAGAAACCAAATCAAATTATACAAGGAAATCTAGCACCATTTTACAATTCATAGCATATTAAATACACAGTCATTTTCACCATAAAGAGCTATACACTGAAAAGAAGAGAGAAGAAAAAAATAATTTTAAAAAGAGAATACACCTGGTTTCTGGCAAAGACATGTGATATCTTCAAATTATCACATAATGTGTGCAATTTGAAATTATTCCTCCTTCTGGCACTATCTTAATAATAGAAGCATTGACCATTATTTTTTATCCTTGATGCTTTTGTTGAATTGTACGATTGTTACAAAATATACAACACTTCAAATTTGCCTACTGTCAGATACAAATCAAAGCAAAGCTATAATGTTAGATATACTGAATACAGCACAGCAAGAAAGATTCCAGGTATGAGTAAGTGCAGAAAAACCAGCTGTAAGAAAAGAATTCAAGAAAAACTAGAAAGCAGAGCTTACTGCTATGTTATCATATGCAATAAAATCTAAACAATATGCAACACACTATAATGCCGTAAGTTCAAAACCATAAGCTACCAAAACAGACACTCTACACAGAGAAATATTTTAACTTATAAAGGCTGCTGCAATGGCTTCTGCTTACGGGTTTAAAAAAAATTAAAGTTATTCAGCCAAGCTAGGTATACTAAGTCCTAGAACTAGACAGACACAGATCATCACCTTGTATGTTTCTTCAGTGAAGTAACATGGGCACTGTCAGACAAAAATAGGCAACTGTTAAGAGAATGTTTTATAACTAAACTTTAACAGATTATAGTAAAATGAGATCAAAAGCCGGATGGGAAAACTTTTTGATTCATCATTGTAACCCACAGACATTTACCTTGACTATTTCATCTTGGGCTCTCACATCCTGATACTGAGTTCTGAAAATCACAAAAGGTCCTCAGGCCTTATCAGGAGCAAGAGTTGGATAGAACATGCTAAAAATTGTCATTCAATGAAGACTTTCTTGTAAGACAAGCCACCTCAAATTCTACAACTGAATAATTACACTAGAGCCTTTTCTCTAGGCAATTGAAGTTGCTGTACACATAATGTTCAAGAAACAGGATACTGAAATAAGACTGTATAAGTTAAGAAGAGGATTAGGAAAGACGTTCAAACAAAATAATAAAAACGTTAACTATAAATTCAATGGTGTTTCTAACACTTCATAACTCATATGGGTGTAACAGAATGAGAGTTGCTGTACATTCCCATTAAGTAAGCAGCAGTGTCACTAAGAGTGTCACAAGGGTGTCAGTCACACCAAGTGGCAGTGTCAGAGGGGGTGACAATAAAAGTATTCTGTAAGGAGCCTTGGTAGGGTAATGGATTATGTACAAGCTGGGCTGCTAACTGCAAGCTTAGAAGTTAGAATCGACCCGTTTATGGGAGAAAGATGAGGCTTTCTGCTCCTGTACAGATTAACAGCCTTGGAAACCTTATACAGGGTGGTTATGAGTCAGAATCAACTCGATGGCACAACTACCACCAACATAACTACTGTATAGTGTTTCAGCAGAAATTTATTATTTTTATAAAAATATCCATGTAGCTAATTATAACAAAAATATTTTTTTGTAAGCCCAGATAACATGTGTCAATATACCCAACAAAACAAAAACTCTATGCTGATTTACTTTTTAAATTTTCTAATGCACTCAGGTCAGAACTGTCCTTATCAATTAAAATAACACTTAAAATGTCAGTTACAAGAACACTTGAATTGTGTGGCTTCACCATCTCTGTTACTGCTGGTGTTTTTATAGTCAAATTTGTTAAATTTTCAGGTGCTTTAATATTATGGTTAAGTACTCGCTGTAAACCTTTATCACTAACTTTTCTGAGAATGCAGTAGTAATTAAAGGAAAAAAGAAAAAAAGGCTTCCACTCAGTTACTAATAATTTTGTAACTAATAATGTAGTTTAATGTAGACAAGATTTTTACACAACAATTATGTCATAAGTATTCATTTAACCTAAGACATATTACATTTAAGTAGTTTGTAAGTCTATTTATCACACATTAGCCTGTTTGTACAATTGATAATACATGTTACTAAGGATTCCGTGTGATCTGGTACAAGGGGAGGTCCAGGGAAGAGGAGGTAACACCATAAGTTACCACACTGAGCAATTCAACCCTAGTGACACACTGAAAATAAGATGGGTGTACAAAGCACTGGTCCAAACCATAGCGTTAATTAATGATCTAGCTTACCTGCCCTTGTTCTCCTTTCCTTTCATTTTAGTTTCTTGACCTTTTCCTCCAGTAGGATCCCACTCTACACAGGTATCTTCAACTTTCAGGTTCAAATGGGATGATGAGTTATCCAGACTGAAGTTAAGTGCTATCCAAGACAACAGTCCAAATTGTTGTTTTAAAAAGTGTGCCAAGGAAACACCAAAGCAGCATACCTGAACTCTCTGAAGCAAAGTCTTCAATATTATTAATATTATAAGGAGCTCTAGGAGGGAGTGTAGTGGTTATGAATTGGGCTGCTAGCCTCAACGTCAGCAGTTCAAAACTACCAGCTGTTCTGCAGGAGAAAGATAAGGCACTTTCTGCTCCTATAAAGTTTTACAGCCTTGGAAACCCTATACAGGGTTGCTATGAGTTGGAAATGACTCAATAACATTTAACAAGATCTTTGAATATATGGCTACAATTTATCATTGCTACCTAGAGACCTGGTGTGGTATTGCAGTGTAAGCACTTGACCGCTAGGTTGGTTTGAACTGCAAGGTCAGCAGTTCAAACTGACCAAGCGCTCCTCGGAGCCCCCATACAGGGTCGCTATGAGTTGGAACTGACTCTACCACACTTAGCAGCAACAATAACCTTACTGGGCTGCTAACAACAATGTTAGTAGCTTCAATCTATCAGTCACTCTGCAGGAGAAAGATGAGGCTTTCTGCTCCTGACAAGATTTACAGCTTTGGAAACCCTACACAAGGTTGCTATGGATTGGAACCAACTCGATGGCACACAACCACCACCACCACCAAGTTTCCTGCTACTTTTCTTTATATACCTTGTACTGCAACCAAATAAATTTACTTGTAAGCCCACTGTAGTTCTGCCAGTGTTTTGAACTAGCTCAAACTGGTTCCTGGCCAATAAAGTAAAACTAGACTTGGTCCAAATTTTTTTAATTTGATTGAACCCGAATGATAAATCCAACAGGAAAAAAGTACGGGTCGAAGCTCTTCCCGGAGTCCGATGTGGGTGACAGGATGATTGACAGGACTATGGTGATGGCACACATGCCTAAATTTTCTGTCTTCAAAGCAAGGTGTCACCTACTATGTAGTTACCAAGTAATCTGCTTCTGTTAGTTATATTCACCTCCAAAAATTCAAACTTCTCATTACTAACCAATGAAAGAATATTTTCTTACAAGACCACATGTCACTGAAGGATACTGATTTATCTAAGGTTTCATTATGTCTATGAGTAGGATTCATAAAACATCTAGTAAGTATATAGAGAACCTAAAGTTCACCAAATGAGTCAAGAATCTTTTTATCCTCTCTTATAAGCACTGGACTGCTAAACATGAGGTCTGTGGTTCAAACCCACCAGCCACCCCTTGGAAACCCTATACAGGATTACTATGAGTCAGAACCAATTTGATGGCACTTAACAACAATTATTCTGGAAATAGCACTTTAATTTCAACTATGCATCTGATGACCCAATGTTCACTGTCTTCATTTATAAAACAACATTCTAAATACAAATCTACTGACTACAGTAGTTTCTAGAAAATGTCTTACTCTGCATATTAATAGCTTTCAAAATCTGTGTCTAAACAGATTTTGAGTTTACAGAAAGAAATACTGCAGCTTGGTTTTTTTTGTAAAAATTGAAACAGAATTCCCTACTAGGTGGTGGTGGCGATTATGTACCGCAGAGTTGATTCCTACCTCTGAGCAATGCTGTATGTGGATTCCGAGGATGTACATCTTTAAGGGAGCAAAAAGCCTCATCTTTCTCCCGGAGAGTGGCTGGTAGATTCAAACTGCTAACTTTGTGGTTAGCAGCCTAACTTGTAACCCCACTACACTAGCAGAGCTCCTACTTAAGAGGTAGGTTACTAAGAAGTTAAAATTCCTTCTGCTTAGGCAATGAAGTAGCTTAATCCAGGGCTTTGAACCAATTCATCCAGTTCAGCCCCTGATAATTTACCTTCACATCTTAGATATAATGAATCAGAATTTAACTTGTAACAACATCCCTAGCTGATTCTCATGTATGCATATACTCTGGGTGTCTATGTAGTAGAAGGCACACTAAAATGAACTGAGACTTTGAGCTACCAAGAAATGACATTTCCTCTATACTAGTTATTAGGTAATGCATGTGAAGGCATATGCATATTTGAAAGAAAGAAAAGGACTAAACTGTAAAGTGCCCTTAATTCTCAATTGCCTGTTAAAATCCAAAAGCTGTTTCTGATGTTTGATTTGCTAGAGAGAAGAGCCACCAGCAATCCTGGGGTGTAGAGTGGAAAGAAAAGATACCACCCCAATCCACCTGACACCAAACCTATCAAATACCACAGTACTCAAATGGAAAAACCTGAGATTCAATCCCAAGGATCCAATTTTCTCTCTCTCTCTCTCTCTTTTTTTTTTTGTGTGACACTAATCCCTTATGGACCTCAGTTAAGACATAGTGCATTCTAAGGTAACAGGGATAAAACCACATTTGTTAAGTGCCACTGAGTTGGTTTCAACTCAAACTAACCCTATATAGAGTTTCCAAGGAGCAGCTGGTGGATTGGAACTGCTGACCTTGTGGTTAGCAGTCCAGGGCTTATTCTACAGTGCCATACCAGGATAGTAAAAGACTGACCCCAAAAGTGTAGAACCCAAATACTGAGGAATAATAATAATGTAGTTTTACCTTGACAATAGCTAAAAACAGTTCAGGTTATATAGAAACTTTTGTCTGTAAATATGACTATGATTAGAAATGGTAAATGCCTCTGAAGAAATCTCAGTAATATCTCCCGTTAATAAACTACATAAATGTTAATTACAACAATAAGATTCAGAAAAACATAAGGAAACCAGTTCGCTGAGAAACCTCTGTGATGCTTGTAAGTTTACACTACACTGGAATTTGTAAACTAAGTGCCAGAGAATGTATCACCATCATCACTGCAGTCTTTTGTACCCAGCTGGATACAATCAGAAAGGCAAATTTTTTGGGAACCACTACTATAATTTTATTGTTCTGGTTTTATAATTCCTTCTGTAGGGAATTCTGAGGGAGTGTGTATGTGGAGGGTGAGGGGAACGGCAAGGGGAGAAAGAAAAGCAACCATGCATGAAATGCTTTTTGTCACAAAGTACTGAATAGTGTCAGATACCAGATTTCATTTGATGTTATGTGAATAGCCACTGGATCTTACCTTTGGTCTCTAAAGTCACTGGATCAGAATATTCTCCAGCCACAGCCTTGTTACAAGCTCGTACTCTGAAATTCATATACTTTGCATCAAATTTTAAACCTGCAAAAATGAGAATGGCTTTCAGACATGAACTGCAAGGTCGGTTTGAACTTGAAGGTCGGTGATTCAAGCTCACTAGCCACTCCTTGGAAACTCTATACAGGGTTGCTATGAGTCAGAACCAACTCGATGGCACTTAACAATAACAACAATCCCAAAAATATGAGTATGAACCTTGAAACAGACATTCTGTCCTCCAAAAGTATCACCTTGTTCAGGAAGCGTAAGAACTTATACTAAAACACTAACTGATGATGCTTCAAAGAACAGAAACACAATTAATCTATTATATCCTTCAAAAGAAATACATTATACAGTTTATCAACGGTTATTTTCTTACTTGTTTTTAACCCTGTTAATACCTTTGCAATCCTCATTAAAAGTAGTATTTTGTTCAAAAACAGAACACAATCTAAAATAACATATCCAAAGTTTGTTGATACTTCAAAAAGATTTCTATGTTTATGAAATGCTGCTTTATGTAAAAAAATAAATTTAAATAAGCAAAGCATAGATATTAGCAGCAAAAACTTTCAGGCTAGTTAGCACTAAATTAGAACCTTAGTCCAAACATTACTAGACATGGGAATGATAAAAGCCACCAGTTGTCTGAAGGATTAAGACAGATGTAGTAAGCTGATTAAATAGGACGCATCAAAGGTAGTAAGTTCAGCACTAAGCCACTGTCACACCAAGTAACTTCCAATCCAGAAAGATCCCACAGAACTGAGTACATCTGTCCTACAGGGGTCCCAAGACAGCCTCATTTTCCTCCCACAGATTGGCTGGTGGGTTTGAACTACTGACCTTGCAGTTAGTAGTCCAGTGCTTAACCCATAGCACCACCATGGTGCCATACAATCAGCATAAATAGTAAAACTTCATACAACTCCTGACCAATAGTATATGCTCAATAAAGGCAGCTACTAATGTATTTGGGGCATTTCAAATATTCAAAGTTCTCTTTGGAGATATCATTTTGAAAGCTTTTCAATTAGCCAGCCTACAAATTTCTAATACCAAGGCACAGTTCTACTTTAGGTATTAACATGATAACTAAAACAGTAAAAGCAACAGTATTTAAGCATCAGTGAAATATGGGACCTTGTATACCTATGAAAAAGCGGCAACTTTTCCATTCAGCAAGAAAAAGAAACAATCTAATGGTATTCTGAAATACTGCTTCCCAGAACATCCCTTCTTACTTGTTTAACATATATTCTGTTTTGTCAGGTTACAAATGTCCAGAAGCAATTTAAGCAAAGATTTTCTTGGTGTTTTCAGGGAAATCCACTCTGATAATCAATATATTGAAAGTTAACTTGGCTTTAAAAATGTAATAACTTGATCCTTTAAGGTACTGAAAAATACTTTTCACAACTGCATTTATTTTCTGAGAATAAGATGAATCAATGCTGCTGTTTTACCTGACAGTGTATATTCACTGCCCTTAATATTCTCAATTGTCTCCCAGCATCTCTCATCCTTGACACGTGGAAGTCCATCAAAGTTTGTTTTCCTATATTCCAATATAAAATGGTCGATCTTATTATCTTCTTCTGGCATGCTCCACGCTACTGTGACACAGTTATCAGCAACCAAACACTCTATGGGGTCTATTTCTGGAGCTCTTGGAACTGGAAAAAACAAAAATAAAACCTCATTTATTATAATATTAGTCAAATATTTGTTTGTCATTCAAACTTTGCTTTCTAATTCTACACCTGAACTGTTAAAATGAATTAGGTTAAAAAAAGGGACAGCCTAGTAAATGCAAAATGATTATTTTTAATGCATCTTTTATTGCTAAACTATAAAAAATGCAAGTTTCAAAGTATTTTCATAGACTTATTCAAAGTTTGGAGTCCTGGTGTGGTGCTGTGGGTTAATAAACCAGACTGCAAAGCCATTTGAACTACAAGGTTGGCGGTTCAAGCTCACTAGTCACTCCTTGGAAACCCTATACAGGGTCGCTATGCATCAGAACTGACTCGATGGCACTTAACAACAACAACATTCAAAGTTTACTAAAGATGCTCATTGGCATAAAGCAAATTCCCACACGCTAAGGATTTTAAAATATCAAAAATACCTTGTTATTTAGAACTCATTATATTTTTATTCACTATATTTTTTTTATTCTTAGTGTTAAACAGGTACAATACATAAGTAAATTAAATTAGTATTGATGAAATGGAATAAACTGCTCTTAAATGATTCAACTAATTCAAAATTGCATTTTCACTATATGTTTTAAATCTGTCTTTAAAAGAATAGTAACTTCTCAGTACTTAACAAAAATGCACTTCATGCACCCTAAAAATGACTTTGTTGTTTGCTAGCTGCCATTGAGTTGGCCCTCATCCCATGGTGACTCTATGCACAAAGAAACAAAGCACTGTCCCCATGACTGGTTGCAGATCTGACTGGTGTTGACCGTAGGGTTTTCACTGGTTGATTCTCAAAAACAGATCCCCAAGCCTTTCGTCCTAGTCTGTCTTAGTCTGGAAGCTCACTAGAACGTGTTCTCTATCATAGCACTGGATGTTCAGGAATGTTATAATGTCTCTCTCGCCATCTCCCTAGCTAGTAACGGACACAAAGTAAAGTATGTGCCGCCTTAGGAGGAGGTGACTGACTGTCCTCTGAAGAAACCCAGAACTCTGTTAACTGATCCCAGTGGGTTAAAGGGAAAAGGGATGCTCCAGTTGTCAGTAACCTAGAGTAACCATCAGGATTCACCCTAAACAAGGGCAAGGAATAATGTTTATTATCCGCAGTGGGTCTTCTACTTTTATTACTCTCTTTAACCTTTTATTGCCTCTTCCCCTTTTTGATCTCTGCAAATGCTATTTGGAAATCAAACATAGCTGTTCTATTATTTGCATTAACTTTACCACAGAGGTGTTCTGGCATTCCTCTCCCATTGTGTGAAATGAGACATGCTTGGCTAGATCACATTGTGGGATGGGGGCCTAACTTTGGGGCATTGTGGCTGATAAGAGTGCTTGCTATTCAACTTATCCTGCTCTGTGCTTTGCCTCAAACTTGTGACTACAGCACACTGCACATGGAAGCTTCCTCTGCAGACAGGTTGTGGCTGTATTTGAGACTCAATAGCCAGAAATCAACCCAGGTTTCTGATATGTAAGGTGTGAGTTCTACCACTGACCCATCCAAAACTACTTCAGAGTACTGACTCGTTAAAATAAACTCAAGCAAATGAACTGTATTTCACATATATGAACATTATTCAATTTCCTGCCCATAGAAAATCTTTTCCATAGATGTACGTTAACAAATGTCCTATTTTATATACGGGTTAACTGGAGAGCACAATCCTCCAGTAACACAGATGTGTGCCAATTGTGTTAAAGTATGTAGCCCAATTGGTACTGTCTTTAAACAGTTCATTGATAAAAAGAGAATTTCTAAATCATCCAGCTATGCAACACTGGCTCAACATTTAATAATCAAATAATGCAAACCATCACATTAATAGGCCTATGAAACAAAATCACATGATGGTATCAATAGAGAAAAAAAATAATTTGACAAAATCTAATACCCATTCATGATACAAACGCTCAGAAAACTAGGAATAAAGGGAAATTTCCGCAACTTGATAAAGATCTTCAGAAATCTACAGCTAACCTCATAAATAATGATGAAGAACCAGATGCTTTCTCCCTAAGATTGAAAACAAGGCAAGACACTTTCTTCTCTCAGCATTCCTAGTCAACACTCTATAGGGAGTCCTAGTTAGATGTAACAAGGCAAGAAAAGGAAATAAAAGGTATACAAATTGAAAAGGAAGAGATAAAAATGTCTTTGTTTGCAGAATGCCTTGGAATTAACAAACTATTGAAGCAAGGCTGTGGGATACAAGGTCAATATATAAAAGCCAGTTGCTTTCCTACATACCAGGAATGAAAACTAGAATTTGAAATTAAAAACCCAAATATGATTTATATAAGCATCAAAGAAAGGGAAATAGTTAAGTATAAACTTCAAATATGTATTAGATCTATTAAGGGAAACTGAAAAATTCTTAGTGAAAGAAATCAATAAAGATAAAACAAATGGAGTGATACTACATGTTCATGGACAAGAAAGATAAGCAGACAACCTTGGTTTTTCCCAACTTGATCTACAGATTCAGTACAATCCCAATTAAAACCCCAGAAGATATTTTCTGGATACTGACAAACTGATTCCAACATTTATATGGGAAAGCAAAAGACTCAGAATAGTCAACATAATAATGAAGAACAAGTCAAAGGACCGACGCTGCCTTCCTAGAAGACTTACTATAAAGTCCCAGTGATCAAGAATCATGGAACATGCCGTCTATTAGAATACACACCAAACAAAAATCTCAAAACAGTGTTTACAATGATCTATATGTATAAGTATATAAGGAGCTCTGGTAGTGTAGTGGTTACGAATTGGGCTGTGAACCTTAAGGCCAGCAGTTCGAAACTACCAGCCGCTCCCCAGGAGAAAGATGAGGCGTTCTGCTCCCGTAAAGATTTACAGCCTTGGAAACCCTGTACAGGGTCGCTATGGGTCGGAACCGACTCGACTGCACTTAACAACAACAATATGTATATAAGTACTCAGGCATTTTTCAGGTAAATATAAATTGCTAAAATTTCTTTGACAATTTAAATATCTATCAAAATTTAAAATCATTTTTTAAAATGAGCAAACATTTCCATTTCCAGAAATTCTCCTCAAGGCACAGTGGCAGATCCTTGCCAACATATGTAAGCATTTTGCTCATTGTTGCATTTCTCTAACAGAAAAACACAATAAACCTCAATACTTATCAAGAAAGCCTAAATTACTACGGTCAACACTGGACTGTTAAGCACAAGGTTGGCACTTCAAACCCACCAGCTGCTCCTATGAAATGCTATACTATACAGGAAGGCCCTCCCTCCTAAGTGATTATCTGGATGTTCTCCTTACAAGCAAAACCTCAGCTAACTGGTTATCAAGAGAGCTGTGGTACTACAACCTAAAAATTTCAAGACTAAAGTATGATCCAGTCAAAGAAATTCTAAGTGACAGACTGAAATGGTAAAACTCATCTAAAAAGTATCTGGCATAATAATACTACCCACTCCAATCAAGTCAATTCCAAGACTATGAATCCTTACTGGAGCATACAGCCTCATCTTTCTCCCAGGGATCAGCTGGTAGTTTTGAACCAACAACCTTGTGGTTAGCAGCCCAATACCTACCCCACAGCACTACCATGGCTCCTGGTAATCTAAATATAACCTTGACAAATAGTATTCCCTTTTAAAGGCATTTTCACTCTTGAGTCGTTGTTGTCATTAAGTCCCGTGGAGTCGGTTCAGACCCAGAGACCCTGTATAGGGTTTCCAAGGAGCAGCTGGTGAGCTTGAACCACTTATCTGTCTTAGGGAGAGCATTGTAAATGAAAATAAAAACCAAACCCTAGTTATTGTTGAGTCAAGTCATGGTGAGCTGATGTATTTCAAAGCAGAGCTGCACCCACAGGGTTTTCAATGGCTGTGATGTTTAGGAAATAGATTGCCAAGTCTTCCTTTGGAGAGATTCAAATCACCAATCTTTCTTCTAGTAGACACCAACCAGGGACTTAGGAGTGAAAATATGTTATTGTTGTTAAGTGCTGTTGAGTCAGTTCCAACTCATATAGACTGTATATAGGGTTTCCAAGGAGCGCTGGTGAGCTTGAACCACCAACCTTGTGGTTCAAACTGACCTTGCTGTCCAGTGAATTAACCTGCAATGCCACACCAGGACTCCAAGAATGAAAATATAGTGGTTAGTGACAGGTATAGTATTTCCTCCTACAACTCAGTGTCTTCTCTCATCCTACTATTATCCCTTCCATTTATAAACTCTGCGAAAACGTCTGACATACACCACACAAGTTGCTACTTCACTTGTGCAACCCTGATAGTTTCAGGCCTTGGTCCATGCAGTCACATTTTAAAGTCTGGCCATATATTCAAAGAAAGGAATAGTTTCATAGGGTCAGCATTCCCTGTTCAATAGCAGCTAATCTGGGGTGAAGGGGCAGCTGCCAAAAAAGAACCTAAATGCAAAACACTTAACTTCAAGACATTCTCTGATCCCCTAAATTACCATGTTCTAAACAATTTGAACTATTAAGTTAACAACATGATGCTAAAAAGAAGATTATCAACCCAAAAGTCTTTAAATGGACAATAACCTGAGACTCAATTTCATGTGGTTTGGCCATTGGACTATCACATACTAATATTCTAGTAAATTAACATTAATTACTACTTAAAATCATTATTACTGGAAATAAACGTTTTGTATGTATGCGCTAAGAATAACCATATAATGAAGACAGCAATTCGTATGATCCTGATAAAAATCCTAGAAGGATCAGCCACATTTTAAAGATACAAAAAAAATGAAGCACAGTTAAGTCTGTACTGCTTCTCTCTCCCAAAGCAGCACTAGTGGAAGCTTTTATCACAACGAAATCATTCTATGGAGTCCTGGCATGGCTGGACTGAAAGGCTGGAGGCTCAACCCTAACAGTCACTCCTGGGAAACCCTATACAGACAGGGTCACTCTGAGTCAGAACCAACTCGATGACACACACCAACACCACCAATAACAACAACAAATAATACTAACAATTCCATTAGTATTATTTAATAAATAATAATATAAAAAAGATAGGTAAATTTCAATTATTCCTTAGCTGGATGAATAAAAGAATTTCACTTTTTAAGTATTTATAAACTAATGTTCATTATGGAAAAATCTTGCAGGAAACGTCACATGTGATACATGTATTTACCTGGCAAAAACGTCAACATTTGCAGCATCTGTCTCTCCTGAGAGAAATCCACCATTAGGTGAGTCATGTTGTCACTGACCTTTGGTTTCAAAGAAAGGCGGAAAGCTGATGCCATTGTGACTCTATGGCAAACAAAAACATAGTTTTTAAAATAAAAGAAATACCAAATAATTTCTTAATTTATAAAATGAGAGACAGAAATGGTTTCAGTCTTCAGTGTAATGATTTCAGGAACTATAATAAGGTACCAAAGTCAAACAGAAATTTGCTCTTAAGAGTTTTTTTAAAAATTAACTGTAAATGAAAAACTACAGAAGGTCTTTAAATGGATAGATATACTTAGGACAACTTCTACCAATTTTTCTTCCTGCTAATTTTATAAAATAGCACATGTATGCAGGTATGAGCCAGCTTTCCAGTATAAATAATCTTTACCAGGCCCAAAACTCATTGGAACGTCTGCACACTCAGTCTCATTGACTTCCTGATGCCAGCCTCCTTCCTTTTCATATGCCAGATAATAAGCAGTACACACAGCCTGATTCAAAGATTTCCTCTAATAGTCACACTCTCCAGTAAGAGCAGAGGTACATGGGCCAGCAGTGCATAGCTTTGCAGCTTAAGATAGACCATGAATGAGAAAGGAGAGGAATGATATCACTCTGATGTACCATCATCAGTTTCACAAAAGGATACAAGAAATATCCTGCTGAAACTACATGCCATGAAAATAATGGGGTCCAATTAACAGTTATTAGATGAACAAAATAAGTCACACCACACCTCATTTATGGGAATACTGTTTTGTTAATACAAACCAGAGATTTAAAAAAATCCTCATATTCTATTAGCTTGGAATTTTATCTCAAATTTTGATTTTTCATGTTCCAGAGAATTTCTAAAACTGTCAATATTCTTCATTAAAGAATGACAAACAAATACTATTCATGAAAGTCTTGGTAGTCTACAATGTGGAAAAGGAAACACTGGTACATTAGGAAAGGCCAAGAAATTCTACCCTACAGATCAGTGTGATGAATGATATTAAGCTGTGTCTGTATTCAGTTATTTCATCTTAAAGCTAGAGAAAAAAATCACTTCACTTAAAAGTAAAATGAACAAACAGTAGCTGATCTATGCAGCATGAAAGTGCTATGTTGGAATATAATTTATAAAGAACAAAAACTCGTACTTACTCATAATTACATATAATACTTTTAGTTATTAATTCTCCAATAATGAAATTTCAAACCAAACCAACAAGAAAAAATGGCTATGCCTTTTATATGTTTTTTTCTTTTTTCTTTTCTTTTTTTAACTTTTTATTGTGAATTGAGTGAAGGTTTGCAGACAAAATCATCAGTAATACATTGAAGATATCATACACTTTGTTTCATCTCAATGGTTGCAATCCCTTCCTTGGAACAAGTTATTCCATTTCCTCCTTGTGGCACCTCCTTCTATTTTATCTACTTTCCCTATCCCTTCTCACCTTTGTCCTTAGGTACACGTTGCCCCACTAATTTTGAATGTTTGACCATTCCATCATTTATAGTGAGCATACCTTACTAGCATTGTTATTCCTCCTATATACCTATCACTGTTTGACTGAAAGTTGGGCCCTGAGGGTGAGTTCCTTTCTGGACCTTAAGGGTGGTTGAGGACCACAGTCTCAGGTTCCTCCAGTTTCTGACCAGTAAGCCAGGTCTTCATTTTTTAAAAATTAATTTTTGAGTTTTATTCCACATATTCTGCCTCCTTATCCAGGATCTTCTAATGTGATCCATTTTAGGGAAGTTGGTAGTGATAGCTGGGCACCATCTAGTTCTGGTCTCAGAGTTGTGGAACTGATATTCATATGTTCCATTTAGTCTGTTGGGCTAATTGATTCCAAGCATCTTCAGTTCTCATCACTCTTCTTCCTTCTGCACATGGAGAGACCTGTAGCTGCACCTTAGACGGCTGCTCATGAGCTTTTAATATCCTTGATGCCACACCAAAGTAGGATGTAGAACACTGTCTTTGTGGGCTGCTATGCCAACTGACACAGTGCCCCCAGGCTCAGCTAGCTACTCACTGCCTTAAGATGTTTGATAATGTCTAAGAAATTTTCATGATTTTGCCCACTGTATGGTCAACTCTATTCATAGTTGAGTTTGCAGGAAAGGTAAATACTCATGTGTCAATATCCTCTCTCAAGCTCTTGTATATCTATGGGATATATAAATATATACACCATACATTGTTCTTTAAAGTCCCAGAATCTTCTGATTTGATCTGACACCTTCTAGAAGAGTCCTGGTGTGACACTATAGGATAAGCATTGGACTGTTACCTACAAGGTTGGCAGTTCAAACCCACCAGCTGCTCCTTGGAAACCCTATATAAGGTTGTTATGAGTCAAAATTGACTTAACGGCACTTCACAATAACCATAACAAAAGCAGCGTTTTGGTGGCAAAGTGGGTTAAGCACTGGGCTGTTAACTGATAGGCTGGTGGTTCAATCCACCAGTTCCTCCATGGGAGAAAGATACGGCAGTCTGAGTCCATCAACATGTACAGTCCCAGAGACCTGGAAGCAATTCTACTCTGCCCTACAGGGTCACTATGACCTGGAATCTTCTAGACAGCACTGTGTTTGCTTTAGAAGAGCTGTTTTTAGAGTAGTTACTTTATAAATAAATGTTCACTGAATCAGTAAATGGGTTCAAAATTATTTTATGTCTTTTAACCTGAATACTTATTTAAATATTTATCGAGAACTTCTGAGAAAAAAAATACCAGAAAGTATCTTAGGGAATTGTAAATCTGAAATCTATAAATCTTTAATCAGAATGACACAACAGAAAAAAGAATATTTCCCTCAAAGTGCATTATAAATAGTTTACCTAAGGACTTCTGGGGCAAGATGGTGGAGAAGACAGACGCACTGAACAGTCGCTCTTCAAGGACATAGGAGACTAAGTGAAACAGATACTGGTGATAATCGGAACCCTGAGCTTCAGAGATTAGGACAGAGAGGTAGACTGAGTGACAACTAGAAGGGGAATCTGAACAGGAGCAGTGAGAGGAGGCTCTCTGGTCCCGGAATGATTTATAGCCTCGGAAACCCTGTACACAGTCGTATGAGTCAGAACTGACTCCACAGCACATAACCACCACACCAGAGGAACAATTATTTAAAAAAAAAAAAAAAAATCCACAAAAATGTGACACTATCCAAGAGGAATAATTTACATGTGACTGGAATTTTAGAACAGGAAGAGACAAATATATAGATAGACAGAAAAATATATATCCAAGGGTTGTTAGAAGAAAACTTCATGATGAAAGATGAGAAGACAGCCATTCAAGAAGCTGAATGAACTCCAGGATACACTTCAAAACAAAACCACCAAGATATATTGTAATCAAACTTTTCAAAACCAAAGATAAGGAAAGAATCCTGAGAGCAGCTCAAGAAAAAAGGAAAGTTACCCACAAAGGAGAATTTATAAGACTAAGTAAGTTCCAATTTCTCAGCAGAAGCCAGGCAGGCGAGAAGACAATGAAATGACATACAGAAAACTCTGAAAGAAAAAACACTGCCAACCAAGAATCATATACCCAGCAAATCTGTCCATCAAATACGGTGGTGATAAGCAGAAATTAAACAAATTTATAAAAACTGGACAGACCTTACAAGAAATACTAAAGGGAGTTCTTTGGGCAGAGAACCAACAGCAGCAGCCAAAACCTGAGATAAACACACATGACGATATCACCTAGAATTCAACCCAGATATACAAATAGTCACAGTCAAATAAACCTATAAGGAAAATGAGTAACCAAAGATACCAGTTTGCAACAACAAAAACCCACAAAGTACAAAGAGAGAATACTGTATTTACAGAACTTTCAAATGAAGAAGAAATCAAGTACATTTTTTTTAAAGTGAATAAATAAAAATAAGCCTAACTGTTAAAAAGAAGAAAGAAAAGAAATGGTTACCAAAGCAGATAATTCTCTATACTACAGGAGCCATATAGTTTGGATACGTTTCAATTCACTTGGACTTTCTGGGTTTATTTCTAGTGGGACAAACTGAATACAAGGACCCCTTTTCTCCATTTTTCGTTTTGTTTTTTTCATTTCTTGCAAAGGGAAAATAACTGCAAAAATTAAACTTTTAATTTCTTCAACCTGCCAATAGAATTACCTTGATTTTCTCTTTCTTAACTTTCAAAAAGTAGTAACTTATCCCTACTGCAGTTTCAAAAAAACAAAAACCAGAGGGAATGGAAGCAAATACTGTTGAATGAGGAAATGATGGTGTAAAGCCGATGTTCTCACATGTAAACTACCACTCAGTTCACACACACAAAAGTAATAACTCCCACAGTACACTTTGTGTAATTAATCATCTTCCAGTATTACTAAGCATTCCTAAGTGTGTACTAATAATCTGTAGTTTCAGAGATTTGCTATGTATTGTATTCTCATCTCCTCAGTGTGCTTTCTCCTTCCATCCCTCACTTATTCCTCTATAACTGGTCACAGCAAATAATTAATGTTGAGTTTTCATTGATACTTTTATTTTTACATACTGACTCCCTCCTTAGATGTTACACACTTTTCTTTAAAATACCCTCTCTATCCTCATATAAAGGAGTAACTCATCCTTTGGTAAAAATAATTCATTTATTACAAGTATGTTTAAATTATACTTATTCTATAAAATAGTAATGATAGAAATTTGGAAGCTTGCTCCTTGGAAGAACACCTGAAAAATAACTCAGAGACACTTGAACATCATGATGCTAAACATCAAGTTTTAGTGATTACTAGGTCTGGGGAGAGGGAGGAATGGGAAGTTGTTGCTTAATGGGTACCAGGTTTCTGTTAGGGGTGATGAAGAAAGCGTTTTGGAATTAGATAATGATGATGATAACACAACACTGTGAATGTAATTGATGTCACTGAATTGTACAATTCAAAATGGCCCCAAACAGACACAGCTATGAATGTGGTAGAGCATACAGGGGCAAAATGATGAAAACTTCTTTGGCATTACCAAACACTTTGAAGCAACAAGCTGCTGGGCCTCAGGACAGGATCATATCGTCTCAGGGGACACCATGGTCAATTAGCCTAACACAGTCCCCAAAGGCAATGTTCTCCATGCTACTTTAGTTGAGTAGAGACTGGGATCTGAAAAGCTCATGAGTGGCTGTCTAGGATGCAACCATTGGTCTCGTCATGTATAGAGGAAAGAAGAGTGATGAAAACTAAAGAATCAATGAGTCCAATGGACTAGTGGAACATGTAACATCAGTCTCCACGACCCTGAGATCAGAAGAACTAGACAGTGCCCAGATACCACTACCAACTGCTCTGCAAAGGGTCACATTAGGAGATCCAGGATACAGTGTGAGAAAATGTGGCACAAAACACAAATTATACAAAAGACCAGGCTTAGTGGTCAGAAAGAGACTGGAGAAACCTGAGACTATGGCTGTCAAAGACTCTCAGGTCTAGAAAGTAACTCACCCTCGTCACCCAATTTTCAGCCAAGTAGCAGACAGGAGCTCTACTAGTGTAGTGGTTACGAATTGGGCTACGAACCGCAAGGTCAATAGTTTGAAACTACCAGCTGTTCCGCGGGAGAAAGATGAGGCTTTCTGCTCCCGTAAAGATTTACAGCCTCGGAAACCCTGTACAGGGTCACTATGAGTCAGAACCGACTCCACGGCACATAACCACCAACCACAAGCAAACAGGTTTAAAAAAAAAAAGGGGACAAAAACTCTAGTGAAGTATGCTCATCATGGAATGGTCACCATTCAAGATCAAAAGGGCAACATTTATCTAAGGACAAAGTTCTGAAGAGCTGAGAGGAGGTTGGGATGGAAATAAAATAAGAAGGAAGTGGGATAACTGCTGTCTCATTGAGGAGATGAAGCAGAAGGTAGGGTTTGTTGAATGTAAAACTGGTGATCTGCTCTGTAAACCTTAATTCAATTCACAATAAAAAGTTTTAAATAAAAACAACAACAAAAAGGAGAAGAAATTGTTTCACAAATAAGCCGAGACCCAGAAATTTTCGATAGGCAGGAGACAAAAATTTCACAGGTGGCCAAAAATGTGTACACTGAAACAAATGCAATAAAAAATGGAGAAAATGAAATTTTTCCTGGCAGATAAAAAGGAACCCTAATTTCTGGGATAACCTATATACTGAAGAAATCAAGACAAAAAGCTAACATAGGACAAAAGACAAAAAAGTCATCGTGAAGAATACATTCACCCATGAAAAGTGGCTATGAAATTAAATTCTGAAACAAATCTAAACAAAAAGAGGTCAGAGGTAAGGGAAGAATTGGGGAGAGCACAGAGCCATATAGATCCACAGAAGAGGAAAAAAACAAAATTTCTGGTAAGGTCTCTTGCAAACTCTTTGAAGAGTCAAAAACCTGAATAGGAAGTGCCCTCCTTAACCAGAAAATCAGGGACCACCCGATTCAGTGGTGTCAGAGTAAATAGGTGGCTGAAACAGGCCATCAAACCTAGCCAGGGTGGAAGATAGGATTACTCATGGCAATTCCTGCAGACACAACCCAAATCTACCTAGTTTCTTAAAACTGAGCAGTGCAGCATCCATTCCTCATATAATTAATATACTTTTCCTTCAAATTTTCATAATCTCCCTTCTCTAACACCTCCTATACACCCAGCTTTTGTAAAAATGACCCATGTCTTTAAGTTTTCTGATATAAAATTCAAAAACAATTTTTTAATTACTTAATATTTAAGGAGCTCTGGCAGCGTAATGGTTACGAATCGGACTGCGAGCCGCAAGGTCAGCAGATCAAAACTACCAGCTTTCTGCTCCCATAAAGATTTACAGCCTTGGAAACCCTGTGCAGGGTCGCTGAGTTGGAACTGACTCCACGGCACATAACAACAACAACAACTTAATATTTGTGCTAAGAATGCTGTTAAGTGTCATGTACACCATTTTTCTGAGCAAATAAAAGACCATAAGCGAAATGGAGATTTCGAACCAAAGCTTCAGTCAAGATTAACAATAGACACTGGTTTTCATACAATCTATAATGAATATTATGAATTATCTGATGAATAAATTAATCTAGGATTAGAATGTGCATGGAGGAGCTGTACCTAACAGAGAATCTCATATATCCACATGAAGAAACCCAGATGACGTGACAACCTCACTGCAGTTGGTTCTCAGTGACAAGCCAGGCTAATCAAAACCATCCCTTCTGTTGGATCTCATTCCAACGTTGCCAGCAGTCCCTTTAGCCCTTTGAAGTGTTTGTTACAGAAAGTAATACATTCCCTTTCCTAATCTTGGCGCTCCCACTGAGAAAGACCTTTGAAACCAAAACCTTTAATCATGTTATCTCATTTTCTCGTGGTACAAACTAGATAGCAATGGCATTAAAAGTAGACAGAGATGGCACCAGGAACAGGATGGAATGAGAATGCAAAGGTGTTACGGAGGGCAGTGAAGAGGGCTTTAGCTCTTGAGGAGTACTCAAAATGCTGATCCTCAGAAAACGGAACACTGATATTTAAAATTAAGAACAAGAAAAAAAAATACATTCCAGGATGTATTTTAAATTATTCAGACTGGTTCCCCCATTCGTTAGTACAGCTAACTAGAAACTGTATTAAAACTAAAACTAACTATATTATACCAGAAATGAAATTCTTTGGGAAGCACAAAACTTTCCATACTTATGTTTTTTTAAAAATCAGGTAGATATTATAAATTATTCAAGAAAATATACAGAAGAAGATTTTTAAAAGAATACTTATATACTAGGTATTTTTACTTTAACCAACGGGATTCTAATAAAAACTGTTTTTGAATTTCATTTCTGACTTCCATATTTATACTTAATAAAAATGTAGGTTTTTATACCATACCTATCCTTGATCTGTCTGGCAGCCTTGGAGCAAGTCAGGGAGAAGAGAAAGAAGGCAGTTAGTGCTTTCCATGCAAGTTTCAATGGCAGTGACATGCAAGAAAAGTTAGAATATAAACCCTGCAACAGATAGATCATTATACCAAAATATAAACTACAGGAAATTTTTATAATTCACATAAGCTTGCATAATGTGATGTAGAATAATAGAAAATTCAGACCTATGTATAAATCACCATAAAAGTAGGAAAATTTAACACTTCAAACTAATTCCAGGTGACTGGAAATCTATATTCTTACCTTAGGATTATTAAAACACACCTCTACTGTCCCTTATTCAATTGGGCACACATCTAGAACAATCATCCTCCTTCCTAGCAAACACATTTCCATGCATCTTGATGGCTTCTTATACTTTTAAAATCTGCTCCCAGGTTTTCTTCAGAGACCTCTTTCATAATTCATGTTTTTTAAAATGGTTGCTGCAAATATTCTTTACATGCCTTCCCAGGGGTAAGGACTTCATATCCTGAGAGTCTGTCTGCTTATAGAAAACTAAGCAGCACATCAGTAATCCTTTACTCCAAAAAATGAAGTGGTCATGCAAAAATTCAGAGTAGGAGGAAACAAACAACAAAAAAAAACCAAAAACACTTGTTGATATGCTTTATACCCTCAGATAACTTTATAGAAGCTTCTACTTCAACCTGTTAGGCTATACTTCTTTTGCTCTTCAGAGTGCTATCAGAAGTTTAAGAAGACAAAGTCTGTACAGTCATATAAAAACTAAGAAAAACACAAAAATTTTTTGTCCCATATATTTACATGTAGTATAATAGACATGAATAAATTATTTCTCCCACACTAGTAAGCATGGCTGTTTTTCTCAACCCTCCAGCCCTAGTGCCTAGCATAATACTTGTCGCTGTTAGGTGCTGTCTAGTCAGTGCTGACTCATAGAGAACCTATCTACAACAGAAAGAAACCCTGTCCCGTCCTGTACCATCCTTCTTATTGCAGATCCCATTGTGGAAACTACTGTTTCAATCCATCTTGCTGAGAGGTTTCCTCTTTATGACTCTACTTTAGCAAACAATGTGTGATACTTCATAATTACTAAGTCTCATTGAACATTAATTTTATGTACACAACAGTGTTTCTACTGCCTCTCTAGTTCTATTCTTGTTACTGGTCATTTTTACATTCACCTTAAAATACTTTGGTTTAAGTACCTTTCTATACAAAAGAGCAGAATTGAGAATGAGAATGTCAATATTTTACATGGCTCCAGCACTACCACCAACAATCCTGTGACCCTGTAAGGGTAGCAGTTCAGTTCCCGATTATGAATGAGGTCCGTTTCTTGTCTTTCAGACTTTAAGTGAAATTTGTTCATGTTTCGGACAGGTGTCTATGGTTCTTATTTTCCCTTCCTTTCGTGCAAAAAAAAAAGGAGCCCTGTTGATGCTGTAAGACAAGCACTGGACTATTAACCTCAAACCCACCAGCTGCTCTATGGGAGAAAGATGGGGCTTTCTACTCCCATAAAGATTTACAGCTTCAGAGGCCCTACACAGGATTGCTAAGTGAGAACTGACCCAATGGCAGTGGATTTGGTTTTAAAAGGAAGCCTGGTGGCACTGTGGGTTAGGCTAACTGTAAGGTCAGCAGTTTGAACCAGCTGGTCCTTAGGAGGAAGATAAGCAGCCTGCTTCCATAAAGACTCACAGCCCCAGAAACCCTATTCTATTCTGTACAGCCCTAGGAGTCAAAATCGACTTGAAGGCTGTGGGTTTTGTTTTATGTTTAGTGCAAGCAAAGACCCACAGCCTCATCAATGATTTCAAAGCAGCATGTGTAACAATTGAAGGTGACTAGGACGAAGAATGTGTTGTTGTTGTTAAGTGCTGTCGAGTCAGTTCCATCTCACAGAGACCCTGTATAGGGTTTCCGAAGAGTGGCTGGTGGGCTTGAATTGATGACCTTATAGTTTGCAGTCCAGTGATTATCCTACAGCGCCATACCAGGAGTCCTACGAATGTACAGCAGAGCAGAAACTGGTTCACAGTTTAAAAGGGAAGGCAAATTTACCTAACATTAAAGGGCAAGTAGAAGTTGTCTATAAATCTACGGATTTCTAACCCCAGGGATTATTTATTAAGTGACTTTGGTACTTAAGAATTGTAAAGATTCTTCCCAGACTCCATATTTTATAAACAGCAACCTAATATTATGGTATTTAGATTGTGTGTCATAAGCTAGGATACTACTTTGGTAATAAGAATAAGAAAGGTTAAGAGGGTCAATTAACACTGATTTTTAAAAAATGGTTTTCATTATAGCTAGATTTACAAAACAAAGATTTTAAATACAAGTACTAATGGAATGGGGGAAAACAGAACTATTCTACTCTGATGTTTCTTCCTAACACATGGAGGACATGTCACCAACATTACTTCCTTAGTTTTTATCCCCGCATTTCTCCTGAAGAGATTATATGAACAGAGAAAAGGGAAATGAGGAGCTCAGCACTTTTTCTTTCTCTTGGCAGCCTGCTTACTCACAGAGGACATACTTGTAATCCTGCTCTTTCCCTCTATGAGGTAGTTTGACTGAAGCAGGTTTCCTCCCCAGAGACCTGAGGTAGCCCAGTGCTGCCCATCCCTGGGTGGACGAGTTTGTTTAACTCTGTGATTCAGTATTAGGAAGGTGGCCCACTGATACATCATATTCTTCAATATCACTTTATTAGCTTAATTCTTTTATTTTTTAATTGGTTTAGGACTGGTTAGGAGTGATACTTACCAGTCACTTTTAAATTACCTAACAATGTAAACTCCATTATTACTTTTTAAGCTTACTATAAAGATTCAATTCTGTGCTGAGTGTTGCTTTAGTATGTGTCATTTTTATCTTGTGTGAGTGTGTATGCACATGTTCATGCAAAGTTTCCATAGTAGGAAAATCACATACCACCCAGGCTATTTGGGACCAACCAGAATAGGAACAGATGTAAAGCTAGTTATTCTCAGAAAAAGCTATTGTCCCATATGTGAATACTTGTATACAATATATCCAACTGGTAAAACTGAGGACCCTGGGCTCCTCTTCCATATATGAATTTCTTTCATTTATAGATTTCACTGTTTACATACTGTGTAAGTACAAGAGAGGTTTACAAAAGTGATCCTGTGTAAGACAAGAGTAGACAGCATCAGGGCCAAGTTCAAGAAATGCCTTAAATCGAGACAAACTACTAAATCTTTTTTCCTAGATTTTCTTTTCCCAAAGCAGAAACCTGTCCAAAACATGGATGTGACTACTGAGTGTGATTCTTCTTTTAATTTCAAGAGTGGTGCATTTGCTCAAATATTTCTGCTTAGTAGGTACAAACTGATCTCAGAGTTTACTACTTGTTCTGTACCCAGCACATGAATATTCATAGACATAATTGCTGAGTGAGTTATGAAGAGGCCTCAGTAAATACTTAGACTGTTTTTGGTTATGGCACTGTGTATTACTGGAAAGTCTCCAAGACATGCTAGTTACATTGCTTTGCCCTCCATCACCATTTAGATCTACTGAAATCCTGTTTGTCGACACTTCCTTCCTCTTTAATTGTTTAAGAGACTGCTCTTCACTCTCCTTTCTCTCTCTCTCAGACTCTCCTCTCTAAATTAAATCTCACAATTCTGATCCTTTATTTTACTGGTCACAGAACTCTGTCACCTATAACCAAACTTCCTTAAGTAGAACTGGAATAAGAATATAATACAAAGGGGCTCCAAAAAGTTCACAGAAAAATTCTATTACCTTTTCATTTTTCCACAAACTTTTTGAAGCCCCTGGTGTAGAAGTAATCACAAAGGGTGCAGAAATAACATCTATATCCTTTCCTAATCGGTCTTTTAATTTGTAATGAGTAGATATAAAAAATTATCCTCCTCTGAAAATGTATCAAGTATTTTGAAGATTAAGCCCTTTATTATAGGGAGTCCTGATGACACAGGGGTTAGGAGCTTGGCTGCTAAACTCTGGTCAGCCGTTTGAACCCACTAGCCGCTCCACAGAAAGGTGTAGCAGCCTGCTTCTGTAATGATTACAGTTTAGAAACCCTGTGGGGCAGTTGTACTCTGTTATCAGTTAGGAGTTGGAATTGACTAGGAAGCAAAGTGTTTGGCTTTTTTGATTTTGTAGAAATATATTGGAGTCAAAGTACTTTAAAATAATCTTCCTTGTTGTTGTTGTCAGGTGCCATCGAGTCGGAACCGACTCATAGAGACCCCATGCACAGCAGAACAAAACAACGTCTGATCCTGGGCCAACCTCACTACCGCTGCCACACTTGACACCATCAATGATGCCACCTGGCCGATCCATCTCGTTGGGAGTCTTCCTCTTTTTCTCTGACCCTCCATCTTACCCAGCATGACATCCTTCTCTAGCAACTGTTCCCTCCTGACAATATGTCCAAAGTATGAGAGACGAAGCTTAGCCATCCTGGCCTCCAAGGAGCACTCTGGCTGCACTTCTTCCAAAACAGATCTATTGGTTCTTTTGGCAGTCCATGGCACTTTTAGTATTCTCCTCCAACACCACAACTCAAAGGCATCAATTCTTCTACGATCTTCCTTATTCACTGTCCAGCTTTCACACCCATATGAGGTTATTGAAAATACCATGGCTTGGGTCAGGTGCACCTTAGTGCTCATGCTGACATCTCTGCTCTTCAACACTTATGCAGTAGTTAATACTCAGGTTTTCCAGACTACTTTAAATGGAAATAAGGAAGTTTAAGAACTTGTTATTGTACTCGAGACACTCAACTAAACAGAACACAATTTAAGATTTCCAAATTTGTTCCCAATTATCAGAAATTTTGAAATCCAGCAGCAAAAAGTACGGAACATCAGAACAGGGTTTAAGACATTTGAATTTCAGCCCATCACATTAGCTAACAAGTTACTTAACTCTTTAGAATGCTGTGTCCTGAGATATCTTTGCATCCTCAAAGTTCATCAGATGGGTTGAAACTGAATTTTCTTAATTATTGTTGAGCCTGAAATGTGAACTAGACTATCTTAGTTTACATCAGGGTCTTAATAAATAATTTTAACTATCTGAATACACTGAAATAGAGGCTGAAATGGATAAAGAGGGAAGGGAAAGTTGTCATTAGAGTCCTGTAAACAAAAACAAAAATAAGAATAATCGTGTTCTTAAGTGATGAGTACAGAGAGAAAGGCACATTAAGACTGAAAATAATCAATCTGGGGAAAGCTAGATGCTAAATATGTGATTTGCCTGAAAGAACTGTATTTATTTTGACTTACAGTAAATTCCAGTAACATCCAGTTAAAAATCCGAATGTCATAAAACACTGAGGAATCCTCCAAGTTTTGTCTGCATGTTAAACATACTTCAGATTCTTCTACTAGATCTGGTTCAGCTAATTTTGTTATATCTCCTCAAGATTAAGGGGCAAATACTTAATGCTTTTCTGAAAAATAGTCTCTACAACATAGTAGTAAGACTTCTACTCAGACCTCTAAAAATATGAGGGGAGGGAACTCAATCAAAGAGACAGAGAAAGAGATAGTCTCAAAATGGTACTTTCTTTTACAAAAGAATTTCAGCCTTCAATATAAAATTTGAAAAAAAACAAATGCAGTTGATTCCTTATGTTGAAAGTTTTATGTTTTCTATGCATGGTGGCTGCATAGGATAAGCACTGGACTGCACACCACAAGGTCAGCAGTTTGCGCCCACCAGCTACTCTGTAGAAGAAAAGATGAGGCCTTCTGCTCCCGCAAAGATTTTAAGCCTCAGAAATCTTATACAGGATTGCTATGAGTCGGAACCAGCTCCAAAGCACTTAACAACAATGCAGACATTTATCTGTTTATAAAAATAGCTATTTTTCAAAAAGCATGGTGGTGGTGGTGGTGGTGTACCGTGGAGCCGGTTCCAACTCATAAGAGACCCTATACATTTTTGAGGCTGCAAATCTTTATGGGAGCAGAAAGCCTATCTTTCTCCCATGGATTAGCTGGTAGTTTCAAACTACTGACCTTGAGGTTAGCAGCCCGACTCATAACCACTACACTACCAGAGCTCCGTTTTAAAAAGTTTAACTTGAAACATATGAAATAAGGTGAAATCATAGTTTAAGCAATGCTTAAATATAAGGAAGTGTCAAAAAAGTTCAATGACACTCAATGAACATAATCCAATGGTGAATTACTGTGGGTCAGAACTGGGAAATACACTCAAGTCACTCTTCCTGTTTTTATCTGTGATCAAATGGAGATGACATTATTCCTCATTCACCTTACTCTGCATTGTAGGCACCTTTTGGTTTGGCAACTGGGTGATATGAGGCAAGATTGTACCGATGTGACTGGTCAGTTAAGTAGAATTTAGAAACTGTTCAATAAACCCATCTCTTTTTATAGAACTTAAGATGTAAATTCAGGGTAGGAACATGAAGATTTATTTTGTCAGAGGACCTAAGCAGTGTTGTGCCAGATACCTACTACTAGAAAACCCAGGTTTGGTGGTAGTTTTGACGGTTTGCCTAACTAGTAATAAATCTAATGATCCAAATCCCATTTGCTAGTAGTCTTTCTGCCTTTACTATTAACCAAGCTTAACAGCTTTTTAAAAAAATTAATGATAGAATGTTTTATAGTCTGTTTCCATAAGTACTATTTTTATTGCTCACTTCAAATGGTAAAATGCTGGTATAAATAAATAAATACATAAATGCTAGGAAATGGTAGTAACTTCATACTCAATTCTCATGTTGAGGTACTGTCCCAGATAATTTAAATATCAGTATTTTAAATAACTTTTTTGAAGAAGTTAAAGTCTGAAAAACTCACAGCTAAGATTTTAGCCTGTTATTTTTATCTCAATGAACTATCCATATTACTGTGATTTAATAAGCACTTTAACTAGGAGGCATTTACAAACAGTAAAACTTAAAGGACTTTCTTTTTTCAGATATCTAACAATGCACTGCTAATTCAACCATAATCTTCATCCCTCCCCATTCTGTCAGCATCTTGGTGTTTGAGGCAAGTATGTGCAGTTTACTAAGGAAAGTACACTTGATGTTTTACTTGAAATCAAACCATTCTGCGGATAGTATTTGGATACGCTTAGAAAAATAACTGCAAGCAGTTCTCAGTTAAGCACTTTTCTTGAAGAATGAACTGGTTTCTGGTTGGAAACCTTGAAAAACAGCCATTTTGCCATATCTCCAAACTGTGCAAGTTATTAAGCAGTACTGTAAAGTAAGAGAAGATGAGACTAAAATAGTAAGATTGGGAGAGGCAAAACGGCAAATTAAAAAAATATATTTAAAATAACAACGTAATTTACAGAACCTTTTCAATTTCCAATCGCTGGGATCAAGTTTTAACAGAAACAAAAGTAGAAAGACAATGGAGAGAGCACACAGGAAGAAGAGGGGGAAAAGAACTCTATAAATGCCAATGAAAAGAGTACTTGAGACAAACATTTATTATAGTTTCTCCTAGCACATAAATGCAATTGGATTCATGTCATTTTTGAGTCTTTGTGTTTTTATTTTGTAGTTTTCCTGTCTTCTTTCTTCCTCACTCTCTCAGGCTGGCAGCTGTTAATTCTTACTCCTATGAAGATGCCTGCTACTAACAACTGCCCTATTGTACTAGATGGGGAATCTATTGACAAGTAGTAAAAAAGGGAAAAAAACAAGATTTAATAATATTGTGTGCAAATTGGAGGGAGTATGGTGGCTCCATGAGATAAATATTAGACTGCACACCACAAGGTCAGCGGTTTGAGGTCACCGGTCGCTCTGTGGAAGAAAGATGAGGCTTTGTGCTTCCACAAAGATTTAAAACGTCGGAAATCCTATACGGGGTCACGATGAGTCAGAACTGAATTGAAGGCACCAAACAACAACATGTACAAACTGGAGTTCTAGTGTGGCACTGTAGAATCAACACTGAATCGCTAACCACAAGGCTGACAGTTCAAACCCACTAGTTACTCTGTGGGCATCCTGTCATAGGATCGCTATGAGTCAGACTGATATAACGATACTTAACAACAACAATGTACACATTAATAGTCAACAAATGCTGACAAACATTAAAAATGGAGGTATGCACTCCTGTCCACAAACTCTATAATACTGATTTTGCCCACTCAGAAATCTTTTGCTTTCTGCACATTTCTTGGTTATGTTTCCATGTCTAAGATATATTTGAAATTTGCATATACATGCGCTCTGCCAAGGTGTTATCTCCTACTTTTAAAGTACTTTAAAGTATGAAACATTTCCTTCGTAATTCTTTTATTTAATAAGACCTGCCAAAGACAAAGATAAACTTCCTCACAGCCCACCTCCAAATTTAAAAATTAGTTAATTTACTGGTTTATAGCAACAAAACTTTTGCTTTGATTCATTCTGCTAAAAAAAAGTGGCCATTTTTTACATTCCATTTCAAAATATAGAGATGCAATCTATCAAATGTTACCTTCTCAAGAAAATTTCTTTTTCTACCTACAGTTCACAGAAAAATTAAAAAATGGAAACATTAGCTAGAAACAAACGGATTATAAAGCCAACCTTCTAACACTAATACAGTTCACAGTGCACAAAACCCAAGCAAGTATCATTCACCTCAAAGATGGGATGTCTTGGTAACTACAGTCTCTATATTGCTAATTGTAGACCTTAATTTCCTACTCATTTCACACAATTTAAAAATACACTCTGTGAATTTTTGTTTAAAAACTGCTCAACATTTCAGAATGACTCAACTTAAAATAAGAATTGTTGTTAAGTGTCACCAAATCAGTTCCAACTCAGTGACCCTGTATAGGAGTCCCAAGGCTATAAATCTTTGTGGAAGCAGAACACTGGTGGGTTTGAACTGCTGATCTTGTGGTCAGCAATCCAGTGCTTATCTTACAGAGCCACAGTGCTCCCAAAATAAGAATTAGAATCTAGAAGTCAAAATCTCTTAAACACCAGGGCATGATTGGTAAAACACAAGCAGGCTTGTTGTTTAGTTCTTCATTATTCTTTAATCAAGTATAGCCCTTTTAAAAAGGAGTTACATTTTTATCTTTTAATAAAGCATTCAAACAACTACTTAAGTAGTGAGACATCTAGATCCAATAACAGATTTCAAAAGTTACAGTGCATCAAGTGTTGATATATTTCCTCCATCAACTCAAAGACAGAAATATATAACTAGATCTTTAAGCATGTTGATGGTTAATACCAAACTTCTTTCCTTAGCCATGAAGTGATTATTTAAAAAAGTATGATTCATTTCAAGTACACAAGTACTACTAAAACAAATTATCGACAGGAAAATAAGTAAAAACTGAAATTGCTTGACTCATCTGAATTGAGTATTAAGGCAAAAATTAAGTTGAAATAATTTGGGTTTTTTTAAATGTTGACTCTAATTATAGGTCCATTGAATTGAACAGAATTTTAAGGATGCATTTCCCCCATTGTCCAACTGAAATGTACTACATTACATGGAAATTAATACCCTTGGTGTGGTGCTATAGTATAAGCACTGGACTGCTAACCACAAGGTCAACAACTCAAACCCACCAGCTGTTCATTGGAACCCTATACAGGGTCACCATGAGTCAGAACCAACTCGATAGCACTTAACAACAACAACAATGTCCTTTTTAAGTTAGATTAATTTTAGTTTCTTCAGTTTGTTTTTTGTACCTTTGAAAATTCTTCAGGTTCCTTTATGTCTAGTGATCGTGTCGCAAACTCTAACAATTCTTCAGAGTTCTCCAGGGCATTATTACATTGACTAAGCTGACTCTGTATTTAAAAAAAAAAAAAAAAGTAAACCTTTAAAACAACGTTTCTTGTTACCACTGGAATCTTAAATAGATAATATGTTAGAAATTTAAGAGAAATAATTGAACTAAAAATATTTTAGAGAACTAGTGAAGCAATGTCATCATGATGTCACATACACTACAAATTTTCATTTTCTGACTTCTTTCTACTTAACCAGGAACACTGGTGGCATCAGGAGTTAAGCACTGGACTGCTATGGAGTCCTGGTGTGGCACTGCAGGCTACTACGCTGGGCGGCAAGATCAGTTCGAACCACAAGGTCAGTGTTCAAACCCACCAACCACTCCTCAGAAACTCTAGAGGGTTGCTGTGAGTTGGAACCAGCTCAATGGCACTTAACAACAACAATCACTCAAAGTTGGCTGTGTAAAGCCACCAGCCACCCTGTGGAAGAAAGGTGAAGTTGTTTGCTTCCATAAAGACTACAGTCTCAGAAACCCTATGCAACAGGTATACTCTGTCTCATGGAGTTCTGGTGTGGTGCTGTGGGTTAATTAACACACTGGGCTGCAAACTGCAAAGGCATCAGTTAAAATACACCAGTGTCTCCATGGGAGAAAGATGAGGCTTTCTGCTCCTGTGAAAATTCATAGCCTCGGAAACCCTATACAGGGTCACTATGAGCCGGAACTGACTTCAGGGCACATCATCACCATCACCACCACCACCACCGACCACCACATACTACATGGAGTCCTGGTGTGCGCTGTGGGATAAAGCACTAGACAGCAAGGTCGGTTTGAACCACAAAGTCAGTGGTTTAAACTTACCAGCCACTCCTTGGAAACTCTATACAGGGTTGCTATGAGTCAAAACCGACTCGATGGCAATTAACAATATCACATACTACATACCCAAAGGAATGCAGTGGTTCTGTAGCATCAACAGCGGACTTTGAACCACAAGGTCAGCTCTTAAACCCCCCACCCACTTCTCTGGAGAAAAATGAGGCTTTCTGCTCCCGCAAAGATTTACAGACTTAGAAACCCCTATACAGAGACACTATAAGGGGAACTGACTTCATGATACTTAACAACAACATATACCCAAAGTCTAACACAGCAATCACTGAACTACTATTGAATGACTGCATGAAACACAGCTACTGGCAATCAAACATTATTGACTTGCCCCATAAACTGTATTAGTAGGATGTTGAACAGTTTCAATGCTTTTCAAATTCCTTACACTTCTTTATTTATGGTAAGTATAACTAGACAAAAGGAGCTCTGTTACTGTAGTGGTTACGAATCGGGCTGCGAACCGCAAGGTCAGCAGTTTGAAACTACCAGATGTTCCGCGAGAGAAAGATGAGGCTTTCTGCTCCTGTAAAGATTTACAGCCTCAGAAACCCTGTACAGGGTCACTATGAGTCGGAACCGACTCCATAGCACATAACAACAACAATAACAAATAACAAGACATAATGAGGAAGATGGTAAAACAATTTTAAAAAATATAATGTAGTAGGATAATTATGACTTTAATGTCTAATAATGCTTTGTAAAAGTCACTATTGTAAGAGTTTTGTTATGCAACATATCTGAACTTCTACGAGTGAGGAAATAAAGGACTGAAGGGTAGGTAGTCAACTGCTATTAACTAAAAAACAAAAATAGCCCACTGCCATATAGCTGATTCCAATTCAGAGAAATGCTATAGGGCAGAGCAGACCTGAACATTATGTTAACCGAGTCTGTAAATCTTTACAGGAGCACAATGCCTCACCAACCTTGAGGTTAACAGGTCAACACTTAACTCACTAGGTCAACAAAGTTCCTTTCATTAACTAACAAATACATTTTTTCATAATAAGCTACACTGCTGTTGTTGTGAAATGCTGTTAAGTTGGTTTCAACTGATAGCCACAACAGAACGCAATGATACCCGGTCCTGCCCATTCTCACAACTGCTGTGATTGAGCCTGTGCTTGCTGCCATCATGTCAATCCATCTCACTGGGAGGTCTTCCTCTTTTTCAGGGACCCTTTATTTTACCAAGCACAACGTTCTTTTCTCCAGTGACAGGCCCCTCCTGACAACATTTGCAGACTATGAGAGATGAAGTCTCAGCACCCTCATAGCCAAGGCACTTTCTGGCTGTACTTACTGCAAGGCAGATTTGTTTGCTCTTCTGGCAGTCCATGGTACTTTCAATATTCTTCACCAACACCATAATTCACTGCCTTATTCACTGTCCAATCTTCACATGCTTATAAAGCAACTGAAAATACCATGGCTTGGGTCAGGTATACCTTAGACTTCAAAGTGACATCTTTGCTCTTTAACACTTTAAAGAGGTCTTTTGCAGCAGATCTAGCTAATGCAATGTGTTGTTTGATTTCCTGACTGCTTCTTCCATGAGTATTAACTGTGGATCCAATAAATGAAATCTTCAACAACTTTAATATTTTCTCCATTTATCATGTTATTTACTGATTCAGTTTTAAGAATTTTCATGTTCTTTATACTGAGGTACAATCCATACTGAAGTCTGTAGTCTTTGATCTTTATCAGTAAGTACTTCATGTAGAGGGTTGAAATCATTGCAATGAAACAACAAATGATTTATTTGATATTAAACTGATAATCCACCCTGTAAACTTTCATTCAATTCACAATAAAATGTTTTTGAAAAAATGGTATTTGCAATGAATAAGTCATTATTCTTACAAAATTCTATCATGTAATCTCCAGCATCATTTCTATCACCAAGGCCATAGTTTCCATCTATCTACCATCCTTTTCCTGTTTCCAACTTCTGCATTTCAAAACCTGTTAATTATTGATGCATCTTGATTGTACATTTAATCAATTTCAGACTGAAGAAGTTGGCAGAATTCTTCAATCTCATCATCACTGGCTTTAATGGTTGGTGCATAAATTTGAGTAACAGTGGTATTAACTCATCTTCCTTGTAGGGATATGGATATTGTCCTATCACAAACAGCAATGTACTTTAAGATAGATCTTGAAATGCTTTTTTGACAATGAATGCAATGTCATTCCTCTTCAATTTGCTACTCCTAGCACATTCTGAATGACTGTCTGATTGAAAATTGCCAATACTAGTCCATTTCAGCTCACTAAGGCCTAGGATATCGATTTTTATGTGCTCCGTTTAATTTTTAACTATTTCCAGTTTTCCTAGATTTGTACTTTGCATGTTTTATGTTCAGATTACAATGGATGTTTGCAGCTGTTTCTCCTCATTTTGAGTAGTGCCCCATCAGCAAATAAAGGTCCCAAAAGCTCTGTTCCATCTACATCATTATTGTCAATTCTACTTTGAGGAGGCAGCTCTTCCCCAGTCATAATTTGAGTGCATTTGAGGGATTCATCTTCCAATACTATATTTGACAATGTTCTGCTATTCACAAGGTTTTCAGCTGGTAACATTCAGAAATTCCCTCTCCTTCTTCCTAGTCTATTGTAGTCAGGAAGCTCTGCTGAAATGTGTTCACCATGGGTTACCCTGCTGGTATTTAACATACCAATGGCATAGTTGCCAGCATCACAGGAACACACAAGCACCACCGTAAGACAAACTGACAGACGGGTGGTAGAATAAGGCGCATTAGATACATGATAAAATATATGTGTTCATAAGAGGCAACCAACCAACTAGGAAGTATTTTTCCAAACAAAACGGCAAAGTTTCTTATCTTATAATGGATATTAACATCAGTTTTATCCACCCAATTGCAAGTTAAAAAGAAAAAGCCTATTAGTTGCTTCTAGATCCCTAATGGCAGTAAAGCAAAGTACATATTCATCTAAGGCGATACTGTTTGATACAGTGTCTTTTCATCCGAGTGACTTCATCTCAGTGACAAGGTAACCTAAGATATAAAACAACAGGCACCAACCAGGTATTTGGGGCTTAGAGGAAAGTGAAACGGAAAGTAGTCATCAGCAGTACTGGGACCATCCCTTACGTCAGTAATGGTTAAAGGTGGCTGATAAAAACTGACAATTACTTAATCTGTTCTGTAAACCTTCACTCAGTTCACAATAAAAAGTTACAAAAAAACAAACAAGCAACTGATAAAACAGTACATATTCAATATGCTTGAGATTTTTGCTACTCAATAGGTAGAGGAAAAGGTTGGATATTATGTTCCATGCCCCTGTGGTGGCAGAATTGAAATATAAGGGCTGGTCTGACAAAATTGTTAGCTGGTGGCAGAAAAAGACAGTCACAGTTGCTCTGGCAGAAAGAAAATACTGAGAAGGTAAAGTGGAGGTTGGAGAAAAAGCAACTGAAAGCATAATTCTAGACTGAAGTTTTGAAGAAGTACCTGATCCAATATAGAAGGACAAGATCTGCACAAGATGAGTCCTTATGTTAGGACTTCAGAAGATGCTAAGTTTTCCTTTTGTCTCCAATCTTGCTTCTTTTTTCCAATGAATGAATTTATTATCATTATTGAAATGTAGGGATATTTCAGGATAAGCACTGGACTTGCTAACCATAGATGGGCAGTTCAAATCCATCAGTTGTCCCATGGGGGAAAGATGAGGCTTTCTGCTCCTTTGAAGATTTATAGCCTTGGCAACCTGATACAGGGTCACTATGAGTGACAAGCAACCCAACAGCACCTAACAACATGGATACTTTAGGATTCAACTGATTATCTTCGAATGACTTAAGTAATATTGACCGTTCCCTTTCCTTAAACGCAACAACAAACCTTAAACCTGCAAGTACAGACAGACTTGAGAGGGTATTTGACTCTTGGAAATTGTATGTGTATAACAGAAAAAAAGCACATGTGTGTATGTACAGAGTGTATAACAGAAAAAAGCACACGTGTGTATGTATAGAGTGTCTAACAGAAAAAACACGTGTGTGTATGTATAGAGTGTCTAACAGAAAAAAGCACACGTGTGTATGTATACGTGTATAACAGAAAAAAGCACATGAGGAGTCTTCAAAAGGGTTTCAGATTCTCAAATACATCTACGACCGAAAAAACAAACAAACAATGAACTACTCTCCTTATAAGATAAAGGTATACTCATGTACAGAAATCCAGCAATTTTTACTTTAAATAAAGCAAACATTAAATATACTAAAGTATTCTCACTTAAGTGGCTAAGTGATCTCACCTGTAACTCTTGGGATTTACGAGCTTGTTCCTGCTTGATACTGCTAATCATATTTTCTTTCATCTCATCCAATATAGAGTATAAGCTATCAAATTCTTCATCTAACTCTGAAAGTATGTTAGAAGAATTTTCCTGTTTAAAAAATGAACAACAAAATAATGGTTTTACTGAAAAGATATCAAAATGTATTTTTTAAAAAAAGCATATACACACAACTGAAAGATGTATTTACCAAAGGAGAGGATGGATTCACACTCTAAACTACCTGTTATGGGTTGACTGGAGTCTCTCAAAAGATGTGCTCCAAGTTCTTACCTTCAATATCTTTGCATGTGACTATTTGGAAATAATATTTGCAGATTTACATAATTAACATAAGATCATACTGGAGAGTAGATGAGCCCTAATCACACTTGACTGGTATCCTTACAAAAAGAGAAGACACACAGACACACAGAGAAGACACAGTCTTATAAAGAAGACACAGAGAGAAGATGTCCAAGTAGAGATGGAGGCAGAGATTGGAGTTACGCTGCCACTAACCAAGGAATTCCATCCAAGGATAGGAAGGACCAGTATGGATTAGCCCCTGCAACTTTCAGACAACAAATGGCCCTACTGACACCCTGAATTAGGACTTTGAGTCTCCTGAATCATGAGAGGATACATTTCTGTTGTTTTAAACCACCAGTTTGTGGTACTTTCTTACAGAATCCCTAGTACACTACCTTAGCTCAATATTAAAAAAACAACAAAATTCTAATATTTGACTTTGAAAATAACTGTTAAGAAGAGAAGCTGACTGCTAATGTTGACAGCAGTATTTCAGTTAAACTATGTGTTATGCAGCCGTTTATGAACTAATCCATATTCATTTCATGTTTCAAAGCACTGCTTCTACAGGAAATGTGAGAGGTTGTTGGAAGGTTGTCAATTTCGCCTAAGCCTTTAGGCTGTAAGACAGACCCCAGAAAGTGGTTCTTAGCCCTTGTTGTACGTTAGAGTCATTAGTTAAGCTTTTAAATAAAATATTCCAGAGATTCTGATTCAGTAACTCTAGGGTACAGTTTAGGCATACAGGATGGCCTAATTTTGTATGACTTTAAAGATCTTCAGCTTTCTCTAAAATAATGTATTTTAATAAATTATACATAACTTGAAAGACTAAGTAAGTAACTCATTAATAGATTCTAAGAGATTTATCAAACACTGAATTGTAACACTGGAAGGAACTTCAGAAATCTTTAACGACTGACAATGCTCATCAAATTTTATAAAATACAGATAAGTGACTTGCCCAGAATTATAAAACTAATACAGCAAAGTCAATTAAGCATTTTGTGTTTCCTGACTTCTCAGTTTCTCAGGGTCTAACTAAGAAGGATACTACTATTATATCAAGAAATAACTTAAAATAAGTGAAATCCCCAAATAAGCAATATCCAATTTTACAACAATTAAGAGACAGAATAAATTTTCTTAAAGACATTTTTCAGTTTAGTTGAATCAATTAAGAGAAGAGAATTGGCATGGACTAAGAGAACTAATACATACAATCTACTAGTAATACCATATGTCCAAACTTTTGCTTAGAAGGCTTTAAAAAAAAAAAAAAAAAAAAAAAACAGACATCCTAACACTGCCAATCATTTTATCAGCAAATGCATGTGATAAGAACAAACTGTGGAAAAATGTAATATGCAGTAGGAGGCAGAAGGTTGAATTCCACATTAACCACTAAGTCACAATGTGACTTTGGACAAGCCACAAGCTGCTTGAATTTCTGAACCTCAGTTTCTTCATTCATTTATCAAAAAGAACTGGACTCGTCTTTCCTCTCAATCCCCAGTTAGTACATTCTTATTATCTCTTGCCTGTGACCTCTCATCTTCAGTGACAAGAGTGTACTTTAATTCTCTTCTACTTCTTTTGGAAGTCCAAGGTAGAATTCTAATAATTTATCAATCAGAAGAACAGTTTGGACAAGTTCTATGTTAAGGTCTCTGTTTCTAAATGTCAAATTCAGTGGTTCTCTTGGCCATAAATCAAGAGTTTTAGAATCAACAACTTCGCTAAATTAAAGAAAGTGAAGTCACCAAATTTTCAAACGAAATAATTTTGATAGGGAAGATCATAATAAACTAACTTCATTATATCAAATTGGAAAATAAAGTAACTACAAAGACAACAAGGTTTCAGAGACCAAGAATTAATTAGACAATTACTAGGCTAAACTGATACACCAACAAAAAACATATTTTCTATATCATAAAAGAAAAGGATATACTACCTTCACATGTCCTACAAATCTACAATGTTTATTTCACAAAGGAGATAACCCTTAAGTTCACTAAGGCACATTCATGAGAAAGCATCATGTGATTACCTTGTGGTCCCTTTCACAATCAATATTTGAGTACTAATAGCAAGGCCCCTGGGTGTGGCTCTGTGGGATTAGCACTGGACTGCAAAACACAGGTCGGCAGTTCAAACCCACTAGCTACTCTTTGGAAACCCTATACAGAGCTGCTGTTGAGTCGGAACTGATTCGATAGCACTTAACAACAACAATAGTAAGAATTCCCTGCCCAATCCTGGAGCCATTTCACTAAATTGTCCTCTCCCTCATCAGCCACTTCACCTTATAACAGTTCACATTCATCTAATATTAAAAGTAAGCCTCTGATTTTCAGGTACAATATCCTTCCACTGTTTATTACAAAAGAAAGGTTTTACTTCCCAGTGCTTTAGAAAAGATACAATTTGCTCTTAAATAACATTACAAAAAACAACTATCAAATAAATGGTAACAAATATTTCCTAGTACTATTCCAGTCTCTCTTTTTCTATGAGTATTTTTATTTTTCCAAATAGTATCCTGTAGTGAAAGAAAGAATTTTACCTTATCTGCCATTTGAAAACCCAGCTCTCACCCACATTAGTTTATAATCTAGAGTTAATGAAATATACTTACACTTACGATTTAACCCAACAATCATTCACTGATATATTTACATCAATTCTTTTTAATAAAAGAGTCATACCTGAACACCTTTCAATGTATGATTGAGTGTATCAATAAAGTTCTGAATTTCATCATTTTTATTTGCCAGGGTTGAAATAATCCTTTGTAGAGCTTCCTAGGAATGAAACAAAAAAATCAAAACATTATGGTATTTTGGTTAGAGGGAATTGTAACTCTCTTAACCATTTGTTAAACAAATTATTTAGGAGTATGTTGTATTAGAAACAGGATCAACTGTTCAAAACATTCAAATGACATAATTACAAAAGATAAGGCATTACTTTTTTTTTTCAAGTAATTTGTATGTAAAAAAAACACCTCTTATTCCTATAACACAACTTAATTACTATCATGTCTTCCACACCAAAAATAGTATTTTATATCAACAGTATTATTTTAATTCTTAAGAGCCATGGCAATAGAATAGAATCAAATTCTTAAATTGTTATGCTATGGAGAGAGAGGGTGGCACTTCCCTGACCAGGCAGCACAGAGTAGACACTGGAGAGGGAGAGAAAGGAATAGTCAGAAACATCACACTAGAAGGCTTCCATCTTCTGCCTATGACTGATTGGAATACCTAAAATGGGGCTACAGCGTACCCAGTGAATGAGGCTTCCTGCAGAGCCTCTGCAATACATAAAACTGTAGGTAGAAACCGGAACCACAGCCAGATCTCCTGAGATGAAAAATCTCCACTTGAAAGGACGAGCAGACCAGCCTGGAGCGGCTAGAAGAATAAAAAATACCTCTTGAAAGAAAGACCTGCAGGAAAAATGGAGGCAGATGGACTGTTGTTACTACAAGAACAAACAAATCGCTTTCCTAGGAAATATCAAGGCAAGTGGCCAGGTCCTCTCAACGCAAACCCCCTTCCAAGACTAAGACTCAATGGAAATGCACGCTCTGATTGGTGACCACACACATCACCGATGGGGGGAAATGGGGTAAAAGCAGCAATGAAGCGGCAAGCTAAGCCCTACAATGTTCAGTGGACTTCTGTGGACCCAGTTGGGGACCTGGATGGCAAGTAGTGTGAGGAGACTTGAGGACTCTTGGGCCCAGAGTCAGTGGCATGGCTACGGAGGACTCGAGAGGAGAGTGGAAGGAACTACCAGCTGATGGGAAGAGAGGGCATGTGTTCAGGAGCTCCCACACTTGCAGATGATACCCACGTGACCTGGACTGGATGACTGGATGATCAGAGGTCAACCAGGAGAAGATAGAAGAGGAGGGAAAAAAAAAAATGAACTGATACAATCTGATGAACTTGACCTATACCTATGGAGCAGCACCTCAAAAGAAGGAACAAATCCTTACAGCAAGAATCATTCCCACCCCCTCCACACACAGAGTGGATGGAGATGGGCAACTTGGACATTGGATACTCAAATGGGGAGAGGAAGGGACTACAAAGGCAAGAAGTGACTGGCCTAGGGAGCATGGAGGAAGGCAGAATCTCCAGTGGGTACTATTCAATCTGTTTGGGCGGAGCGGATGAAAGGAAATACAGATGGGTAACTCGTGATACTGTAGTGAATAATGCTTATCAGGATGGATTATGAGGGTTGGAAATGCAAAGGCAGATGTTTTGGAACAAGGAAGGGAGTGATTAATTCTACAGGCTAGGAGCGGAGGTATCTGGGACCATCAACGGAGAAGAGCCGAGAGCGGGACCCTACCCAGAGAAACAGAGATGCCTGAGATGGAGGCAGAGACGATGACGTGGAGTAATGAAGCGGCTGGGGACTTTGGATCCAGAGAGGGACAGGGATTGTGGGCTGAAAACTGGGGGGGAGGAGTGTAGGGGCAGGCTCTTCTAATTAACAATTTATCCTATTAAGTGTTCCTTCAAGAAACAGATGCAAAAACAGTTTTTTAATACACCATCAGGACATGAGGAATAAAAGCAAAGAGGCACTGAAATATATTAACATTTAAAAACCTTTATCATCCCTGAGGCTGATATTTTAATTCATACATAAGGAACAAGTGAGTACATTTTCAACTAGAATTATAATATCATTGCAATGCTTATAAAAAGCTGTAGAACCATATAGAAAAGGTGAACAATTTTAGTAGCAAATACTCCAGATTTGCAAATGCTTCCTATTTCAATAAAACACTTGGTTATTTTTGTCATATCCTCTATATCACAACTGTACAACAGAACTTATTGATGAGCAGGTTGTTTAATGAGTGTTCCTCCATTTCTGATACCATGCTCTTCTTCACCTAATCCAGCTTCTCAGACAATCTTCTGCATACAGATTGAATAAGTATGGTGAAAGACTACAACCTGGTGCACACCTTTCCTGAATCACAATCATTCCGCATGCTCATTCTTGTTCTGTTCTGATGACTGCCTTTTGGTCTATGCACAAGTTCCTCATGAGTGCAAACAAGTGTACTATCAATAACTTGTCATTATCCACATATAGAATGCCTCTGCATAGTCAATAAAACACAAGTAAGCAGTGAACTGGTATTCTCTGCTTTCAGCCACGATCCATCTGATGTCAGCAGTGATATCACTAGATCTCCGTCCTCTTCAAAAGCCTGCTTGAGTTTCTGTCAGCTCCCTGTCTATGTACTGTTGCAGTTGTTTTTTAATTATCTTCAGCAAAAATTTACTTACATGTGATACTAATGATATTGTTCAACGATTTCTGCATGCCGTTGTATCACCTTTCTTTGGAATGGGCACAACTGTCTCGTAAATTGTTTGCATAGATGAGTGAGTGCTTCCAGGGCTACACGAGATTGTTGGAAGATTTCAACTGTTATTCCATCAATACCTGGTACCCTGTTTTCCACTAATACCTTCAGTGCAGTTTGGAATTCCTCCTTCAGAACCATCAATTCTTGATCATATGCTACCTTGTGAAACGGTTGTGAAAAATTATGGTAGTAAAATATTAAAAATAATTAAAACAGCTCACATTAATTCATATTTTATTGTGTATAAGTCCTTATGCTAAGCACATAACATGGCAAGTCTTCACTGATTTCTCAGAATAATCCTTGGAGATAAGTATTGTTCTCAACCCTATGTTGTCTATAATTCTCTGCTGAATTCACTTACTTACATGATTTCTTCCCATTCTCACCAGTGGTGGTATTTTAGTGTAATAGCACAAAGAAACGATGCTATGAAAGAATACCGATGGCACCAAGGGTTCCATGTTTATCCTGTAGGTGTTCCTCCAATAAAATCTGGATACAAAGGATAGCAACAGAACGGCAGAATGGAGCCCAGGCTTGGGGGAGAAAGTGAACATTTAGAGAGACAATGGTGGTAGTATATTGTGCAGAAAAAGACAACAGAAAGACCTAAGAGAAAAGAGTCTTCCAGGTATTCATGCAAGTTAAAGGCAACATAATGGAACAGTAAAAAAACAAAAAACCCTCTACACAATCCTTGCTGCTGTTAGCTGCTCTGGAGTTGGCTCTCACTCATGACAATCTTATGTGTAACAGACCAAAACAGTGACCCGTTCAGTGCCATCTTCATGATCATTGATATATTTGACTCTAATGTTGCAGCTATTGTGTGTGGAACCTTCCAATTTAGAGGGTCCATCTTCCAACACTACACAATATTCTGTTGTGAGTAACACCATTTTCTTTGGTTAATTTTAAGAAACAGATCACCAGGTTTTCTTCCTAGTCTGTCTTATTCTTGAAGCTCCACTGAAACGTGATCAGCAGAGAGTTTATAGTAAACCCAAATTACTAAGACTGTGCTCTTTCTGGTTGATGGTATCTACTTTCCTCCACTTTCTATCCCTCATAAAGGCAGCACTATATGCATATCGTACACTGTCAAAGTGACACTGCTAGTAAGTGAAAGCCTATGCTTAATCTAGCCGTCTCCCAAATCCATGTTCTGAACACTTGGGAATACTGTCTCTTAAGTCCAACCAAACACCATCATATAAGAAATGATATTATCTTTGCAAAAATCATTTCTAGTAGACAGAGCCCAAGGCTGGTATATAATAAAGTGGAGGTCAGGCATACATCCACCCTCTAACCTTCTTTATCTACTCCAACACCAGCCGTTCTTCCCACAGCAGGCTGTTTCTCAGCTGAGTTCACTAATTCATGGCAAGGGCCACACAGAACTCAGGTACCACATTCACAGTTATGGGATTTATTAGAAAAGTTTACAGGTTATATAGTTCAGGGTCAGAAATGTTCAGGTCACAGTTGTTCCAGTCAGGACAGCTTCTCCTCTGCTGTGCCCTCAGCCCCTTGGCCTGGCTTCTGCCCTGCTCTGGCAATGATAAAAAACTCTTTCAAGGCTTCTAACAGATGCCAAAGGGCACTCCTCTCTGCTATAAGCCTCAGCCCAGAGGTTCTCAGCTCTAGCTCAGTGGGCCAGCAAATCTAGCTTCCCAATAAAGTGCCTGGAACACCATGCCTACATCCTCTAAAGCCAAACAGAAGGAGAAATTCACTCTTAGCGCTTGTAAAATTTACATTGTACATTAATGGTTTTGCATAGAGAATATTCTTTCTGGGGATCAGAAAGAGTGCAAATGTCCATCTGAAGGTTTATAGCTGAGAAAAATAACACTCTACCTGAGGACAGCGGATATGTAAGTTTTACATATGAAATAAAATAACCATCTCAATCATCGGAATACTACTATCCATTTTTTATCCTAAATTCTAAAAAATAATACCCTTAGATCACTGTCAATTTAATCCTTACCATTCCTCTACTGCCAAAGCCTGGAAACTTAAACCTTCTCAATTTTTCTTGGCCCCAGAAGTACTGAAAGAAATATTTCTGGAGAAAAATTATCTTATATAAAAAATTCTATTACCTAAACTAAAGCAAACAAACCCAGTGATGTCAAGTCAATTTCAATTCATAGTAGTAATCCTACAGGACAGAGTAGAACTGCTCCCATATGGTTGCTAAGGTGACAGTCTTTAATGACAACAGATGCCACATCTTTCTCCTACAGAGCAGCTAGTGTGTTCTAATGGTCAACCTTCTGGTTAGCAGTAGATTACTTAACCACTGTGCCTTAAGAGTTCCCTATTATAAGTTACCTAGGGCTCTAAAACAAACTTTCCACCAGAAAGAGGTTACAAAGAAAA